TTAAAAAGTTAAATCTGCTTCGGGCTGCTGTGAGATTCAGGATCGTGTTTTTTTTTTTCATAAAAATGTATAGAATATATTCAAGATTTTCTTTGAATCATTATTTAACTTTAAAAGAATGAATTAGTCAAAATACAATAATGAGGGTTTGTTTCACCTATTGTTGATAGAGTTCCAGGAAGTTAAGAGTTCAAGGTTATTTTTCGATTCAGATATCTTGATATAATTCTATTAAGATATCTGAATCGAAATCGATCGATTCTGATCTAATTCCTCTTATCTGAAGCACAAATATTACATACGATTTTTGTGCTTCAGAAAAGAGCAATAAGATCAATTTATAATCTTAGGATTAGGGACTCTTTAAGGGAGAAATTTAAGGAAATAGACATAATGACTGTTGCTTCTCAATACATATACGAGAACTTAATGTACGTTCGTAAAAATATTAGTTTGTTTTGTATAAAAAGTGATGTATACAATTTTAATACAAGAAATAATAATAAATTAACGGTGCCTGTCACTAGACTGCAAAAAGTTAATAACTCATTTAAGGGTCTTTGTGTGCGCTTCTACAATAAGGTCAATTAGATATCATGCAGTTTAAATCTACTATTAAAAAAATACTTATTAAAAAAGCTTATTATAAGGTATCCGATTATATAACAGATAAGAATACTTGGACTTGTGATGATCCAGCAACTGGATAGGTGATTACTTCTTAACTCATTCATATATACAATAATTATCTTGTTTCTACTATTATTAAATGATTATGTTATCATAATAAGACCATAGTTTTTTTTCTATCTCTATTTATAAAGTATTGATCTGGTAATGACATGGAAGTCCTGAACGAGCGGTAGGGAAAAAATGTTGGACTATTCTAAAGTACTTTTAAGAATTCTATTTGAATAAAGATTATATTGACTTATCCGTTTTTGCTACCATCCGTAGCATTTCCTACCGATGGTAGCAAAAAAGTGTTTCAATAACATACCATTGGTAGGTAAAGCTACCGACGGTGTGCTACTAACGGATTGATCTGATACTGATAACCGTTCGTAGGCAAAATGTATGAAAATGGCGCAAACAGGTGTTTCAATATCTTTCGGTAGAGCTGTCAAACTTACTATCCGTAGCTTATCTGTCAAATTTGCCTACCGGCCATTTTCCGTCGGTTATCGTAAAAATATTTATAAATGACACGTTTTTCCTTGTTAACTAATAGAAAAATAACAGTTTTTCATTAAAAAATTAATATTGTAGAAGAGTTTGATGTGTTTTGTGGTTCCAATTAGAAGAATTTAAGTTGTAATCATGCCAATGTTTGTACCTTTAAGGGCTCATACTACCAATTAATCATTGCTCCAGATGCTTTCTACAATATGTTTCTGTTGAAAAACTTGATGATTTACCTCTATATAATTATGAAAAACCTTGTTCTGATGAAACTGAATTTGCCACCTACTTGTACCAAACTTATACACGTTACATTAGTTTATACCCTTTATTTTTATTAAACACTGATATTGATTTAATTCTTAATAAAACCCAATTTGGATATAACTTATTTATTTTACAAATAAAAACAATTCAAAAAAACTACATAATTTTTACATTATTCCATTGCATTTTTCTACGTTTGTTTTACGATTTGATACAATCATTCCACTTTTTCTAATAACCATTCATTTATCATCCTATGTCAATAGATCACAATTGTTCACTGTCAAATTCATTAATGTTATCTTGCAAATTCAATATGTATAGTATAAATCACTTTATACAATTAACAATTTATAATAAAGGTGAATTTAAATTCCCGCTAAGCTTCTACGGAACATAAATCAACTTTACTTTTTGGCATAATTAAAGGCAAAGGGATATAGCACATACAACCTAGTCTAGAGTGACAATATTCACCTTGAGGTTCACTTGGACTTTTTTGGAGCAACAATTGAAATATATTTGAAAATGGTGAGGTATGTTAAAGTAACACTTTCGCGTCTTGAACCTAATAAATTGACAAAACACTGCTCATAACCATGCACCGTACCATTTCAATGAACTGTGTATTGCACACGTTTATTTATATTCCGAAATATAATTCGAGATAAAAAAAACTTATATAAACAAATGATGTTATTTTAGGGGTTGCAAACATTTTCCAACGTTATAATTATAATTTTATTTTTGCAAATAATAATACGGAAATAAGATGTATAGTCTTATTTTTTTATCGACTTCAATGAAAGAGAAGGTTTCTCATTCAAGTGTATGTAACTAATTTTGTATAAAAATGTAAGATTTGGTGACATTAGCCTATAAGAATTTCATTACTTTTTCAATTTTAGGTACTTTAAATTTTAAATCAATATCGAATAAAATACTTGTACAGTAGGTGGCAAATTCAGTTTCATCAGAACCAGGTTTTTCATAATTATATAGAGGTAAATCATTATGTTTTTCAAAAGAAACATATTGTAGAAAGCATCAGGACCAATAATTAATTGGTAGTAAGAGCCCTTTAAGGTACAAACATTGACATGATTACAACTTAAATTCTTCTAATCTGAACTACAAAACACATTAAGCTCTTCTACAATATTATTTTTTTAATGAAAGACTCTTACTTTTCTTTTAATTAACAAGGGAAAACGTGTTATTTATAAATATTTTTACGATAAATCATACTAAATAAAAAAAAGTTTAATTCAATGAGCCAAATGTTCCGAATCGCTGTTTCTTGCCTGCAGCATAAAATATTTCTATCCTATTTTTATCTAAAAAAAAAAAGGATTTTTAGTTCAAGTAAAAAAATTACTAAAAACTTGTAAAGAGATAAATTTAAGCTATTTGTTGTAATGGTAACTCTTTTGTTTACATCAGAATTCCATTTCAGACGATAATTTGTTTCACAATAACACCACTTTTAAGAACCTAACCATATAATAAATAAGTCATAATAATTCCAAAACAAATTTCAAATTTAGTTTCGGTACGTAATCAGTTCACCTCTTTCCTATTGATGTCTCTGTCTGCCTTCTTACGATTTCGATTTTGTCCAAGAAATTATTAAATGTTAAAGACCAACATTTCAGTATAATCATAATATTACCTAAGACAAGGCTGTATGGAAAGAACCCTTTTCCTCGAATTATATAATTACAATTTAAAAAAAGCTACCGACAACCGTTCGTAGTTGGTAGGCGCCTACCGATGATTGTGAAACGCAAAAACGAATGGTTGTCGGTAGCTCAAAAAACGGTCGGTAGCTGCTACCGATGGTTGTGTCATTGACTACAAAACATTAGACTAAAAAACTTACGTTAAAATAGAATTTGAAACTACCATATTTTGATGAATACATACCTACATTAATAATCTTGCAATACAAAGCGTTACCTTTTTCCTTAAGTCAAATATTTATTTGGGTAGTATTTAGCCTATACCAAATTTTATAATAAAAAGTATCAATATACTACATTACTTATTGACTTTTAGGTAAACTGAAAATAAACCAAGAGCTAGTGCCGATAAAGCAGTGTTGCCGAAGTCCTGTTTTTACGATTGCTTGTCTCATTTTAAAATTAATATTTTGGAAAAAATATGTAATGTATACCTATGTTGTGCCCAGATCGTAGTATTGACCAATTCATAATGCGGCCGGCTATCCCATTAAATGGTAGAATACGTAAATTTCTATATTATTAAACGTTGCCGTTTCATGAAATACAATCATTTATTTCATTAAATGGCAGGACGGATTATTAAAATGACAATACAATATGGCCACGCCGTATATATCTCAAAGAACGTTTTAAATTTCTATTTGTTACGCATGAGCTATAGGTAAAGATCAAAATTTTATAGCCAATCTTTTGTCTTACAAGCTATACGGCTATGGAATTCTTTGCCTGAAAACATTAGACGAGCTCAGACGTTAGTGGCTTTCAAGATCCTAGTTGTTGAGCACTTCTTTTCTGATGAATCATTGATCATGACTCATGTTAGTGGTCTTTGCGTCTTATTAATTTATTGTTATTTTCATATTATTTCTCAAATACCTCAAATAAATAATTTTAATTTTGCAATGCGCACACCTTACCCTCACTTATTTATTACTGGGCATATGATTTCTTCTCACAATATAGGTTGCCTGGAAGAAATCGCTGTTAAGCGATAAGGCCGCCTATTGTACAATTAGGATTTTAATATATCTAAAGTGTGTTGTACAATAAAGTGTAAATAAATAAATAAATATTAACGAACTTAGAAGGAGGAGTTCCACACTCCGTGCGAAAAGGCATAGTTCTCCCTCGGAAAAATAGGTCTTTCTCTGACAAGGGTCTTACAGCAGAGAGTAGACTTGAGCAGAATATTGTCTGCCCGCTGACCAAATTTGGTATTCTCTTAAAATACAACGTTGAAAATAGCTGTCGCAGCAATAAGCAAAGGTAATTTCTAATGCTGTGACAGGCGCTGTGATTGATGCTGCGCTCGTCGCTGAATTTATAATAGCATTATTATCCGACCCCCAGGCTCTATATAAAATTTTCTAACTCCGTTTGGATTCATACCACATACAAATTTATTAATACGAAATAAATTGGGGTCATTCACTATCTTTCTTTTTTTTTTAACTTTAATTTGTTATTCAAATTTAATGGTGTCTTTTAGACTATTTCGAACTTTTAACATTCATAGAAGCGTCTTTATTTAACCTCTATTAGTCTAAGATACGGTATCTCGTACTAGATTCCATTTTCACGGTTTTACTCCAAAGAATTACAGTCGAAATTATAAGCAGATCTTTTTTCAGTTTTTGAAGGTAAATCCCTAGTATTGGGAGTATCCCAAGAACCCTGATTGAATTCTGATGTTTAACATTCGCTCGGACGGCTCATGCGCCACGATAATCTTCTAATGGACTGCTACATAGTGAATTGTTCCTTCATATAATCGCATATAAAAGGTGGTGAGGCTGCGGCGCGGGCGTAGTCGCCATCTGACACACGAGCCGCGCGTATCGTCGTTTACGGCTCAACTTGTCTTCGAACATACTAGTTTAAAATCAATCAACTAAAAGTGGTTTTTGTGTTTTGTGACATTGTGCAATTTTGACAACGCGGTGAGTAAAAAAACTTCAATGTTAAAACAATTATCATATTTTTGAAAGAATTGTCGTATACTTTATTAATATTTCTATTATAAAGTGGTAAATTCTATTTACATATGAAAATATAAAGAACACTGCATGTCTCAAAATAAATCGGTGGTTAATCTACGACTAATTCGGAAAGTTAAAAGTAAATAGAGTAAAATTTACTTTTAAAGACTTCAATATAATTTTAAATTTTAAAAAAGGCAAAGCATAATAATCTATGGGCATACACAGTCTATCTGAAAACAAAATTTCGCATAATTTCGAAACTCCATTACGACTCTACTAAGCTTTATATTTTAACACAGTGGGAGTAAATTCTAGCGCTCATAAAGTATTTATGTATTTATTGAAATAATATTAATACAGTTCATAATGTGAACATTTCGAAATCTCAATTAAAAATTAATGGATTATGGTAATGGTCCTGATAATTTAATCCAAATGGACATGAACACAAATTATTTTGAAGGGTGATCTCGTATCATAACTAACGCGATTTATATTTTGTAACCCAGGATCCAGTATTGATGCTATGCGAAGTCTGTAAATATCGCAACTGATATAATATTAAGATAAAAAAAAAATTCATAAAATTACTCCCATTTCGATTGCAAAAAATTAAAGTTGTTCCAAAAATTCATAAGAAACATTTTACAATTTAAATTGTAGAGTCAAATAATCACAATAGCTTATCACGTATTGTGATGACGAGATGTCCTACGTATCTCAAATATGAGATAAAAAAGGCATGGAATGACACAACATCCACAAAATAGTTAACGAGAAATATTATTAAAAAATAAACAACTTTTGACTTTATTTGTTTACTTTTGTATACAACCATTGTTCTAACTTTTTCTATTTACAAACTAAGTAGTTATTTATTATTTTATAAATATTCTTTTTAACAATATTACTGTTATTTTTTTGTGTTGTTGAGAAGTGGAACGATATTCTTGGAACAGAATTATCTATAGCAATTATACCTATTTATTAATGATTTTTAAAATAAACTCCCGAATCATTTATAGAGAGAGAGATATGTAAGTTTTTAATGTTTTTATCTTTGTTTGAAAAATCAAACTGAGAAAAGGAGTATCGAAAAAATATTTATCATTTCCTCAATTCTTAAATTTCCTCCTAGCTAATGGGACATAAATTAATTTTGTATTAATTTTTACTAAAAATTTATATTACAAGGAAATATTTGTAAAGTGCAGATAAAGAAAATACACAAATATTCATTATAAAAGTATTTACTTCACGTCCATTAAAACACTATTACCTACGATTATTTCGCATAATTTTGTTTACAGAGATTTGTCTTAAGTGTGATGAGTAATATAATAATAACCGATGAGAGTTTTAAATTTTCGATTTAGTTATGTTTCCTGGTTATCTGATATCTCTACAAATCTGTTGCTTGAATATTTAGGAAAAGCCTAAGGTTAAAATGCATTTCACCATTGACAAGAATCACCTAACGAAATCAAGCAATGTCTAAAATTAAGATATTCGTTATGCTTTTTATTTATGTTTTTTATTTGGAATTAAATTAATCTATGCCTTGATCGTTAGTGAAAATTTAGGTATAAGGAGGATAGTGAAAATGGGTATATATGACGTAAGAATGAGGAAACAAATTTATAAAGTCTCGCTAAACCAGTTGCAGTAAGTCACAGCTCCTATCCTCAACAAGGGGTTTCCCAGTGAATGACGCGTGTAAATGACGTCATTTTTTTTTCTCATACATATTTCAAAATATCGATTTGATAAATAATTTGTAACCAACTCAACGGATTCCCCGCCATTAATGAACAAGTTAGATGTTGGTAAATATTTGTATCAGTGATTATAATAGTATATATCTTTATTTGTAGACTAGTAACACTAGAATGAAACTACTGTACTTACTGATTTGGATATTTTTTAAAAAGTTGTTTATACTTTGTATAGTGCATCATTATAAGGCATGTCGGGAAAATCCATATTTGAATTATTATTTATAAATATATTATATTTAGTCACATATAATTTGTCTAATAGAAAAATAAGAACTAGAAAATTTCAAGCTGGTCCAATTATCGGTATCCATGTCTGTTTCAAATGTCCTAGATGTGTTTCGAACTTTTAGTCTTTCCTTAATCATGCCGTCTGCATCTGAGATATATGCGGATGAATTTGTTAAATATGTTTCTTTTAGATACATTGGAATTAATAATGCCCTTTCAGCTGAATTTATGAACACTAAAGCTGGCTACTTTGTTTTAAAAATTGTTTCATATATAATCACATAATAAGAAAGTGAGTTATAGGTTCAAACAACTTATTTAAGAAAATTAATATGAATGAATTTTTAACAGTAATTTAATAGGCATCATTTGGTTTTTTATTAGACTCATAAAGGTTTTTGATAAAGATAAATAGGTTTGATAGGTAAAATATATTGAAAAAAAAGGATGAGTATGCTCCTTTATAACTTAATAATCGATGAGTTGGTAGTTACTGGTACGTACATAATTAATTATCCATTTAGAATGTAGGTTAAAAATAATTGTTCTCTTGTACTTATTGGTCAGTAATTGTTAATTATACTGTAAATATTTTTGTTATACCTATTTGTGGAAATAACGGCGAATGAACTTATGTATATCAGAATGTACTCGTATATAGTCTTTTAAAATGTAGAAAAAATATAATTTTGATATCTTTTCCTTCTCTTTCAAAATGCATATCGCAAAGAAATAGTTTTTAATGTATGCGACTAGTAGCTATTATTTAATACAACAAAATAGATCATTATGTTTCTAATATAATATGGAGTAAACTTACGGACTGGTTCATAAAACCTTACCTTTGTGCTAGCTCTAGCTCTTTTTTGGTAGGTACTGTTTCTGGCGCCCCCCACGACGTGATGCTCTAAGATATTGCTTAATTTGCTTATACATACACATATCCGGCATTGTCTATGATTTACAACACTAATACAAATATAATACTTAAAACGAAACCATGACCTGAGAATTAACCGAGATGATTTGAAATTTGTTATACTGAAACCTGAACTAAATGATAGCGTGCCAGTCGTCTCCTTGACCCAATGAGAAAAAGAACCTGATTACTTAAAAGCATCAAATTACGTGACAATGTCAGGCAACCTAATTATAATAATCTAGAACAGAAATTAAATATAATATTGATGGGAGCACTTACTTTTTGAAATGCTTATCTAAAGTAAAAAAAATAATAGCATTTGCTTTTATGAACCACAACATATTATATATATCTATCGACGGTTGCTTCGTAGAGATGCCAAGTGTAAAGACCGCCTTTTGTGACTTTTTATTTTTTTTATTGTTATGTGTTAATATTTTAAAGCGTGGAATAAAGTTTATTTTATTATATAATTATACAATCTATACATTATATACATTTTCGATAAATGAAACAAAGACTTTAAAAATAAAAACAAAGAAAATTTGTTTTCTAGTAGGTTTTTAATTCTTCTTCATATGGTTTAGTTTTAACGATATTATATTAAATTTATTTTTTAATATTTATTAACATTTTCATGTGTATGTTTATACGTATAGTGGATGACTTTAGGTATATTAACGAATCGGCCATGGACCTCCATGTATGTATGTAAGTACGTAAGTATATGATAGGTAGCAACGTGCTTATAGAAAAAATCGTGAAAATAATTTACCTTTATGAACACAACATACGATTTTTTGATCTTATTTTTTCCCGTGTTACTCAATATTATCATACCAAACTTCAAAAAAATCAATAAAATCTAAGGTAAGAAGAACAAATTAAGATAGGGACGATGGACGATGGCCGTCTGTACGCTTTAAAAAAGTCAGTAACATACATAGAGTAAGTGATAAAGATAACCCGAGTAGAGTTAACGCTAATCGATTTTTATAATTCGATACAATCTTGTTAAATGGACCATTCTTGATTAAAGTACATTGTCTTGCTAAGAATTTTAATAATATCCCAAAGAATTGTTTCTTGTTATATCTATGTTGAAGTTTTAATTACGACGTCGAGTCTGAGTGTTGTTGTGCTAGTACGTTCGTTGTTTCAGATTTATTACAAGTGCTTTAACTATTTCTAACCCTTAAGAATTAACATGAAAATTCGGAAAATTCCGAATCGTTATTGATTTTGGTAAAATTATATACGAGAAGATATATCTGTACATTAGAAGCAGTGACAGGTATTTTCCCATTGCATCATAAAATATAAAAAAATCATTTCTTTGGACTCGTATTAGCATTTTGAAAATAGATGAAACTTGGTTTTGGAAGGAATAGAATGGCCTTCAGGTGTCATGTTAATTTGTGCGAGTAATAATTTGAAATCCGAGCGATGTATGTGATAAGCGTCTAATATTTAATGATTACTTTTAGCTCTAATGTGTGTTGTGAATTTGAAAATTTGTATCGGTAATGTCGCTTTAACTGGGCTAAGGCGTTGTTATATTTATATAGATTCTTATATTCAAATATTAATATTCATATACTTACTATACATACGTATCATCATCGTCACCATCAACCTAATGCCACTGCCATTGCCAGTACACAGGTCTTCGATATGAATGATAAAATCAAATATTTAGGAGTATTAATTTTAATATAAAAATACCTCATCACACCTGGACTGTGAGTTTCCTGACATGTGAAGGCGAATAGTAAATAGAAAACAGATATAAAAACAAAGCCAACTTGGTTTTGGTTGGAAAACTCGCGTAGCACGAGGTCCACTAGCAACCTCGCACCACTTGGCAGCGGGTTGCGCAAGCGCTTACCGCCGCCGCTCTCTTGGCATTGAACGTGACCCATACATACTGGTTGTTGGACCCCCGCAATACCTAAATCTACTTTATCAATGACATTGCAAATCCGAGATCCGGATATCCGTATAGGACACAGTTAAGTAAGTTATTATATCTGATTTTAATAAACTATTATGACAGAGAGTATCAATACAAAGTTTATTATGAGGGGTTAAAGCCTAAATACTGATTCTCTTCAGATCGATATTTCAGTAGGTTCAGCGAATTAATTAGGCATCAAAAAGTGTTTTATTTATTTTCATTATTATCACCTAATGTTAAAGCGATGATTAGAGGCCTCGGTTTTAATGTGACTCATATTATTTAACATTTTTCTGATAAACAGGGTATGTTTTTATATAATTTACAAAATTAAAAAAAACCCCTTTGGAATAATATGTAGTTAACTCATTAAACTAGCGCAAAAATTACCGATTTTACTTGTTTTATAATTTAAAACCGGCTCCTTTATTTTCTCTATTTGAATGTGGATAAGGAACTTTTTTTTGAAAATTTAGGTTCTTTCTTTATTTGTTAGAAAAATCAAACTGCCTTAATTTTTGCTTGACACTAATATTATACAGATAATAACTCTGCAAATAGTGACGTTAAAACGCAAGTATATATTCTGAATTATTATCTTTTTTATATACAAACTCGCTACAAAATACCAATTCCTTAAAATTAGGACGAACTTAGTGAAAAAAATAATCATGTCTAAACTTTCAATTGTATTATCTACGGAATATAGAAGCAGAAACTCTTTTGATATTTTATTCAAATTAACCCTAGAATCTTAGTATTTTATTTTTCTAGTTAAATAGTATGCGTATGATCTACCAACTTAATAAGTAGGTATGCAATAATATAACTAGATTTTTTTAGTTATTTGTAGTCATATATTTTAATTATTAAATTATTTATATTTATTCAAGTCATTTGATGATAAATGAATAATAAATTTCATCGCGTTTGTATTTAGTTTTAGACGTTTTGGACCCTTTACAGGTTCCGTGTTCACATAAGACTAAGGTTTTGATTGTCTTTTTAATTAAAAGTATTAAAAGTAAAAAACCAATACTATTGGACACATTCACAATACATTTTTTAAAAATATATTATGGCAACGATTACATACGTTTAATAAATCAAATTACATTATTAAAAAAAAAAAATACATATGACTTATTTATTTAAAAATACATATTACTCCCAAAGTTGGACTGGTAGATTATGGTAGCAAGGGGTTGCTACCATAATCTACCAGTCCAACTTTGGGAGTCTCGTCTGAAAATACAAACTCCGGCAAGAAAAAGTGAATTGCTCCCTTTAATTTAATATTAACAGAATAAACTAACTGTAGGTATCTTTTGGTTTTGCAATGTTCATTTATGGATAGTGCGCGTGAAAATATAAGAAATCAATATCACTTGTTGATGACCCAAATTCGGTGATCCAACTGTTTACAGTTCAATAAATACCTATATATATCATATATAAATACCTAATACATAAATGTACAGTGATGTATGAATTAATTTATAAGTAGGTACCGTCACGTTAATTGCAGTAGTTGACCTTTAAATGATCAGGGTCTGTCAGGGCTATTGGGAATGTATTATCGACTTAAAGCAATAGACATTTATTTGAATTTATTTTATTTTAGGTCTTGCAATGGCTGTTTCGGATATTAAGATCGATAACGGTTTGACATTAATAATAAAGTAGATTGCGCTTTTTCAAAGCTTCTTTTAATTTTACGCTTTTTTTTACTTAGTCCACGTTCTCTATCTTGTTTTTGCTATAACCTTCATGGAGGAGAGGTCTGCACGTCAGTACAAGGTATCGCTATCTATGTAGTCCCGGGTTTAATTCTCTATCGGGTAAATGTTGAAAATAAACATATTTATAGTATCTTGAGTTAAGATGTTTGTGTTACCTTCTTTGTTTAAGATTTTTATAATACAAATGCTTCAGCTACTTTGGGATTTCAGCAATGTGTGATGTCGAATTCTAATATTCTTATACAGTGCTAATAATATTATATATAATGGTTTTCCTATTCTACAAAGTGAAATACGATACAATTCCAGTTCTATTTTAGCTGGAATTGTATCGTACGTCACTTAGTAGAATAGAAAAACCATTAAAACTGTAGTTTCGTTCGGTTTCGATCCGTTTTCGATTCGATTTAAACAAAATTTATTTAGTAGAATTGGCCATTATTTCAGTTACCAGCAGCGAGACATTTGTGATCGGTCCGACCTCCCGCTAATAAATATATAATTGTACAAGTGGCATAAACAACCAACTCTGCACGTGTTTCGGCCCTCCACGAAGTTGGATTCGTTGTTAATTTCAGTGTCAACTACTCGGTGATTTAGTTTTACAGGTTTTTTTACTAAAGATTTTTTCCGCTAATTCTTCTGCGTGGAATTATTTCCAGCAGCATCTATTTTCTCCGACTATAAAATTTTGATTGAAAAAAAAAAAATTTTTAAAGCGAAAATGATTCAAATTTCTATTCATCTTTGCAATCCTTTGGGGGATAAATTCGGGAATGAATTCTTTCTCTAAAAATATCTAAATATCAGACGATTGCTTTTATATTTATGATCGATAATAGGCTATAATCTGACATCGCAAATGTAGGGCAGGTAATATGAAAGAGATATAAGAAAATTTGCAAAAATAGTTTGGTCATTTATTTCGATTGCTTCTCGTTTATTAAAACAGAGTTATTCTTAATACAAAATGCTTAAAATATACACTTGGTTCCTGGTCCTGGGTAGCTCAGCGGTTAAAACAGTCACTCGGCTTGCGAAAGGTCGTGGGTTCGAATCCCATGTCGCACGGGACCAAGTGGATTTTTTAAGCATTTTCTATTAAGAATATTTTTCAGTATAGCATTCTAAATGCGTAATTGATAAAATATTACAGAGTTATTGTTAGAATGAACGATCGCTATCATTGTTCAATGATTGCATAAACAAACAGATGATTATGAAAGTATTATTAGCATTTCTTTTTTAATTACCTCTTTGGTGTTTCTCGCAGTGTTACTTTATTTGTGCTATCAATAACTTAGCATTTTTATTTTGTAATTTAAAAATGGGCATGTAAGACACATTCTGAAAGCTTTTCAATGTGTTTAAAACGATATCAGCATTTTAATGATTTAGATAAAATTTCATTACAGAAATGGAGGCTGGAGATTTCAAAGACTTCGCTAAGGCGATGACAGACTACATCGCAGAATATCTAGAAAATATAAGAGACAGGTAAACTGTTTCAGTATTTACCTTAATAAAGTTAACCACAGCTATCTAAATAGGTAATAAAAAGTAATTTAATGTATATTGTCAGCATGATGATGAATTCATCTTATTCATATTTTTTTATGACATATACGATTGTTGTAAAGAAAACTCTATCTCCAAGGAATTAATTAAAGTGAAGGATATCGAGACTCAAATGGCAATAGGCAGGACAACTTTTTTGTAGTGATTACAGGTGGAGAAAAAACTGGAGGTACCGCACGGGAAGACGAAACATAGTCAAATTTGAATTTAATTAAACTTAAACTATGTAGTCGACTAAAAAACTTCAAGATTAAAAGGGTTTAGCCGGATACGTATGACGAGTCGGCCCCCAAATGGGAATCGATATTGAAACTTATGTTTTAATATCGACTTGATGTTCAAACACGATTTATGTACTTTTCGCGACCGACTTCCGTTTTGACCTTGAGATAGAGAGCAAAATATCCGTATGCTTGACTATTACTGAATGTGATATATCTCTGAAGCTAATTAAGATAAAGAAGTGAAACTAACGCGAGGTGTTAGGTTACATTACAGAGTATATCACATATATTTTTTTATAATTTTTAGAATAAAAAATTACATAAAAAAAATAAAAATAAAAAAAATCATGTTTTTTTTTCTGAGTTCTCTGTGACTTACAATCACGAAATTAATATATGTTATGCTCCTTTATGTGCTCTATCACCCATAAAAATTGCGTGAAAAAAAAGTTGGTGCAACACAACGAAAAAAAAATATATGTGATTCGCGCCTTGTAGTGTGAGTGTATAAACAAACAAGTTCGAACTTGTTATCGAGCTGTTTACTGCATCGTTTGTTTAGCAAAAGTAGCAGTCATTTGTATCACACAAGAAGGCAGTTTGGGACTCAAATTCTGACAGAATTTGAGTCCCGAGAGGTATTTTGTATCAGCATTTTGAAATTATTAACTATCGAACCAAATCATTATTAAGTAATAATGTCGAGAAAGTGTAAAAATTGTAACAAGTAGGTACCTGTGTAAGATTCCTGGTTATAAAAAAATTATAAAGAATGAAGAAGAAGCTAAAGTGTTTAGTGACTGTTTGAATAAAATCGTAATAGTTAATGATATTTTTTGTAAGAAGTGTCGACTTATCCCATATATTAACAAAAAAGCTTCTACTTCTAAATGTGCAGCATTTAACTTGGCCGAAATAATGGACGATCAAAATAATCTCTCAGTACAATATGTGAAATCAGCACCTAATATCATCAAAGCAGAAGTAAAATCAAGACATATAAATAGAAAAGTCTATCGAATTTACATTCACTATATTTCCGAAGGTAATGACTACAATAGTATTCTTCGTTATTGCTGTGATTGCCCCAATGGCTAACGTACAGTGGGATGCTGTTCTCATGTAGCAGCTATTATTTATTATCTATCATATGGATGATATTTGACCAAAATCGTACGTCCTGCTGGGGTCCTAACTAAGTTATTTGCGACTCAAAGTGTTCCGATTGTAATTAATTACAACAGTGACGATGATTAATATTTTGTTTCTTGTATTTTGATAGACACGAAAAAGTAATAATAATAAGTATTGAACCCTGGCTGTTTCTTTTTTCATTTCTTTTTTAACTATTATCCCATATCTTAAGACTAGTAACTTATGTTTTAAAACAAGCTGATGTGAAATTTCGACAAAAAAACAATGATGTAATGTGAAAACCTTATAATACAGGGGTATACCATAAGACAGAAATCACATATAATTTTTTTTCGTTGTGTTGCACCAACTTTTTTTTCACGCAATTTTTATGGGTAATAGAGAGCACATAAAGGAGCATAACATATATTAATTTCGTGATTGTAAGTCACAGAGAACTCAGAAAAAAAAACATGATTTTTTTATTTTTTATTTTTTTAATGTAATTTTTTATTCTAAAAATTATAAAAAAATATATGTGATATACTCTGTAATGTAACCTAACACCTCGCGTTAGTTTCACTTCTTTATCTTAATTAGCTTTAGAGATATATCACATTCAGTAATAGTCAAGCATACGGATATTTTGCTCTCTATCTCAAGGTCAAAGCGGAAGTCGGTCGCGAAAAGTACATAAATCGTGTTTGAACATCAAGTCGATATTAAAACATAAGTTTCAATATCGATTCCCATTTGGGGGCCGACTCGTCATACGTATCCGGCTAAACCCTTTGTAATAGAGTCGCCGTAATAGAGCATAATTAGAGAAGAAAAGTTATCCTGAATGATAAATTTCGCGAAGGATTGACTTTAATTGTCCGATATGTTGTTTTATGTTGTTTGATTAGAAATCGCTAGAATAGGGAGTACTATGAAGACGATGATTAGATTATAAGAATCAGGGGCCATTTCTACTCAAGTAGGTTTTCTAATAAAAACTTATTGTTTTTCAAATGAACGGATTTTTAATACACTAGTCTTCGCTAATAAATTTCATGAAATTATGGTACAATTTCAGGCCGGTAGTACCGTCGGTGAAGCCCGGTTATCTCCGTCCGCTGGTCCCGGAGCAGGCTCCCCAGCAAGCCGAGCCCTGGACAGCTGTGATGGCAGACATCGAGCGGGTCGTCATGTCTGGCGTCACTCACTGGCACTCGCCCCGTTTCCACGCTTACTTCCCAACCGCCAATTCTTACCCTGCTATCGTGGCTGACATGCTCAGCGGCGCTATTGCTTGCATCGGTTTCACATGGGTTGGTATATTTTGTTAAATATAAATACGTATTATAAAACAAAGTTGCTTCCCTCTGAGTACGTTAAGAGGAATTGCAGTATTTTAAGAGGAAGATTTATACAGGACCGCGCGCTTTAAGCCGTTGATGAAAAGCTATCATCATCATCATCATCGGCTCTTTTACATCCAACTGCAGGGACTCGGGCCTTCGTTATGGATGGTTAAGGAGGATGGGCATTGAACCACCCACTCGAGCACAATGCGAATTGGGGAGTATTAACGGGTAACGGCTTAATATTTTACTCACCCATCCTGTGACCAACGCTTGCGAAACTTGCTTGACAATAACGATCGCGGGCCGCGGCGCTTATTCACTACGCCACCGAGCTACCACCGAGCAAGTAAAATACCAATTACAAAAACAGTCGAATGTGAAAAGTTTAATCAAGGTTAAATAATAGTTTAACGTGTTAGTGTCGACACACACAAAATAGCGTCCGTAACGCACATTGCGTACTAATGCAAAAGTCGAAAAATAAACTGACAGCATTTTATTTCTATTAAACAGCATTAGCATGAGATTTATTTTCAATTCAATTGTTTATTATGATTGCAATAATATAAAAGATATTATTCACAAATACTGCGCCATAACATAAACGTGTACTATTTATCATAATAAAAATTAACATTACATTACAAAATAGATTCTAATTTATGATTTAATGCCAATTGTGTTTTTCCGTTAAATAATTTAAATAACATTAAGAACAAACGTGAAAAATATGTTAAATGTCAAAAAATTATTTATAATGAAATTGTCAATAGAATAGAAATAAAATATATATATATATATATATATTATTTATTCCTTTAAATATTGAGATAATTTGTTGAAATTTTTGATCGTCATTACATAGGGACTAATTTAGATTTTGGTTTCATTTTTCACTTTTAATTTCCTTAAAGCTTAAAAATAAGAAGATAATTTTGCTTTAATTGTTTGTAAAGGATCTTTCCAGTTTACATTGTTATTTATTTTTATCCCAAGAAGCCCCAATGTTATTAGATTTGAACACAAATTGTACACGAATGTACACAATGTAACAATTGTACACAAATTTTATATTCAAAGCTTGTATTTGATGAGGTCCAAATTGCATAATTTTGGTTTTAATAATTTTTTTTTTCTAAATTATGATCAAACATTTAAAAAATATTGGTAAAATTTTCATTGAAATTTTTATCGTACTTATACCTAATAATAGGTACTTAATTAAATCGAAAGGAAAGATTATTATACCTTTGGAATTTAATTTTTTAGATCGCTAGTCCGGCCTGTACCGAATTGGAAGTAGTGATGCTGGATTGGCTAGGACAGATGCTCGGTCTTCCGGAACAGTTCCTAGCGCGCTCTGGTGGTGAAGGAGGTGGTGTGATTCAAGGCACTGCTAGTGAGGCTACTCTTGTTGCTCTTCTTGGAGCTAAAGCAAGAACAATTCAGCGTGTGAAGGAACAACACCCGGAGTGGACTGATACAGAAATATTGTCCAAACTTGTGGGATATTGCAACAGTAAGTCATTCTTATTTCCAACTCAAGAAACAGGGACATATTTGCTTTTGTCGAAAGTTTAACTTACATAACTACATACTAACTTATTCTCGGATATCATGGTTTTAAAGATTTAAAGATAAATAAAGGAAAGTAACAAACAAATTTATTTGCGGTCAAAAATTATTTCGTTTATTTACATGTTACTTATTTTTTATTTTCATATTAGCATTAGGAGAACTTTTCTATTTTTGTTTCTTTTTTTTTCACCGCTTTCCACCCAGTGTCAGTACATTTTTAAGCTATTTTCTCAATCATACCAGTTCTCGCATTTGCTTTAATATTTAAATCATCAAAGTTTTAATGGTATTTAATAACAAATTATATTTATTTTAATCTATTTTCAGAACAAGCCCATTCGTCTGTAGAGCGCGCTGGTCTACTAGGCGGTGTAAAACTGCGGACTCTCACACCAGACAACAAACGGAGACTTCGCGGCGACACATTGCGTGAAGCGATTGAAGAGGATCTCCGTAATGGATTAATTCCTTTCTACGTAAGTACTAATTTTTTAACAAAATATATTTGTACTACAGTGAACTTCAAACTTATTTACAATATTAATTGAGTTTCATTTTTGATAGGTTGTAGCAACACTTGGTACAACATCATCTTGTGCATTCGACGCTCTCGATGAAATAGGTGATGTATGCAACTCGCACGATGTTTGGTTGCACGTGGACGCAGCATACGCTGGCTCTGCATTCATCTGCCCAGAGTACCGTTATCTGATGAAGGGTGTCGAGAAGGCAGACTCTTTCAATTTCAATCCTCACAAATGGATGCTCGTTAACTTCGACTGTTCCGCCATGTGGCTCAAGAGCCCTCGTTGGGTCGTAGACGCCTTCAATGTAGACCCACTATACTTGAAACATGATCATCAAGGCGCGGCTCCTGATTATCGACATTGGCAAATCCCTTTAGGACGTCGGTTCAGAGCCCTCAAGTTGTGGTTTGTATTGAGGCTGTACGGTGTTGAAAATCTCCAAAAACACATCAGGAAACAGATAGCATTAGCTCATTACTTTGAAGAATTCTGTAACAATGATGACAGATTTGAAATATACGAAGAGGTAACCATGGGATTGGTATGCTTCAGATTAAAGGGGAGCAATGAGATTAATGAAGAGCTTTTGAGACATATTAACGGAAGGGGGAAAATTCACCTTGTACCGTCAAAAATTGACGACGTTTACTTTTTAAGATTAGCGATATGCTCTCGTTTTTCTGAGCAATCTGACATTCAACTATCGTGGGAAGAAATAAAAGCCTGCGCAGACGATGTTATTAAAGCTGTTAAACATTAAAAGTTCCACGAATGTTTTCTAAAAGTCATCTTTTTGCTAAGAATTATAGTTAACAAAATTGACAACATAATAATTTTATTAAAAAACTAGCTTTTGCCCGTGACTTCGTCTGCGTGGTAAAGTTACTTTGAGCAGCATTTCTAATAAATATTTATTTATTATATCGTGTAAAATACCTGAAATTAAGTTTCATCCCCTATTTTATCTCCTTAGGGGTGGAATTTATCAAAATTCTTTCTTAAGGGATGCCTACGTCATAGTAGCTTTATGCATGCTAAGTCTCAGCCCGATCCGTCCAGTGGATTGGGCTGTACATTGATAGATCACTATGTCAGTCAGTCACCTTTGCTTTATATATATTTAGATTATTACAAAGGCTATAATATTTAACACTCATTAATATGAATGTCTACTACATATAAGTAGTTGTATATAGTAAAAACTAAGTGTGGAAAGGAAACGATTATAATAATTATTTAACTGTTTGCTGTGATGTATGTAGACCATATAATAATTGTGATAATATTTATGGAACAATGTTATAACATGTTTCGTTGGTATTTAATTTCTAAGTATTTAATAATATATTATTATGCGAGCTTGGTAGTGTTTACATTTATTATAGAATAACAACTTTAACAAATATCGTGGTTATATAAAAGTAGAAGGTAGATGGTATTTTTTATCATAGTAGGTATCTACAGGCAAAAACCTAATATGATTTGTGAACTCTTATTAGTTACTTATTTATTTTTTAAATGTATAATGAAGTTATTATTTTGTATATTATTATTATATGACACCTATTTTCACACTACTCGCTGTAATATTGATATATATTTATAAATGATTTATATATATTCTATTTCACTCTTAATGTTAAGCTATACCTATGTTCTTTATTAAATAAATAATTTTTTACCATTCAATTAGATTGAAAGGAGTGATGTATAAGTAACGTTTGAAGAGTTATTTATGATTATTTATTGCAGTAAGATATTTATCAAGATTTTTTATACATCATTCTGATTTAAATATACAGGACAATACTAAATAAGTGGGCTTGTTTCAGAGTTTAGCCAAAACGACGAAATTGAAAAATTGTGAAAGTAGCTCTATTGTAATTTATGGTGACAATAATCTCTAATGTTTTACGTCTTTGTCTTGAAATTTAAATACAATATATCAGAAGAATGTTTGAAAGTATTTATATTCATGTATGTGCTAGTTGATATCTATTAATGTTCCAATAAAGAAGCATAAATGTTTTTAAAGTTCATTATTTAAGAAAAGTTAATATTCTATCTACAGTCAGTTTATTATCATTGTCTACCATTGACATAAAAGTATATAACTCAATGTTGCTTACCATTAACCTAAAAGTTTTGGACACGGCATACCTACAATTTTAGCTTGCCATGCCTATTCCTTAATCAGAACAAATGGCTAATGGCTTATGCTAGCCTTTCATAAACTTTACTGATATAAATATCAAACCCCAATATAAATAATGCCACCGGAATAGAATAATTTAAAAACTTTACAGTTCAGTACCTAGTTTTAGTTTTTTAATATCTTTTATTTTTGTTTACTTAATTCATTATAGGGAAGACACTGCTCCTTAAGTTGGATTTAGACTAATTTAGGAATCAAAACCCTTAGCCCCTAAACTAGTCGAAACTGACAACAATGTGCCAAGCAAGTATTGATAAAAAAATCCATTTTGTTTAAAATTTCATCCAAAACCCAAAATAGTACATAAAAACACATTCTGTTTGTAGCCAACTAGACCGGGCCTTAACGAAAAAAAGATTATTGCAATGTTATTTCAAAACGAATATTACGTTGCAATTTCAAATCAAAAATAACAAAAAAAAATATTTTCGTCCTTTATGGAATACATTTTGATTTTCAATATAAGCTTAAGGAGATATTTATTAAAATACCGATAATTAGGTAAAAAGTTCTAAATGGCATTTAAAATTTATTTATTCAATGTCCTTACATACAATGCGTTTATCTAAGGGCTATACATACCATGGTGTCGCAAGTCCCGTTACATTATAATACGGGACAGACTCACGCCGAGAAGACCCGATAACCCCCGAGACTCGTGAATGTGATGAGTTTCTAACCTTCTCATTCCTTTATATTTCTTCTCGCCAAGAAGGCTGGGCTATACTTCTCGATGTGAGTCTGTACGACCTATTACATATTCTATTATTTCAAGTATCTAATTCATGTGATATATCATGTGAACTGTTTGCAAAAATGGACTTGGAGCATTCTTAAAGAAATTGACATTTAGAGGTAACCTGGAAGTAGGTTTATTTATTATGCGATAATGTAAAGAATAAGAACGAGAGGTCAACAAATTATTTTGAAATACATGCAGAACTGTCTATAATTTATTATATTGATTATTGCTTGCCCATTCTTACCCATTGCAGTGTGTTATTCCAAAGACAACTCTACTATCAAGACGCCTACCCTGTATGATGAGTGATTGTCAGAAAAGTAGCAATTGTTAGTTAGGCAATGCCTAATTTTGTTTACGGCTAACATTAATCTAGCCACAAACAAAACGAAAAACTTTTTTAATACTTTCCAAATAAAATAATTTAAATATTATATTACATGAGCTTTGGAGTTTAAGCGGTTTTTATTTCGGTTACTTAGCTAACGCTTATCCGTGCAATTATCGGCTAGCTGATCCATACATAACCAGTTGGCGGCAACGTATACTTGCCACCATAATTGACATCATAGCCCGAGATTCTTTTTATTTGGTACAATTCTAAGTTATGAGGGTTTAAAAACACGCGATTCGAGAAAAAATAGAACTCAAAAGTAATAAAAGTTTTGTTGAGTCTCGGGTAGCTCAATGGTTACAGCAATCGGCCGGATTGCGAAAGATTGGGGTTTCGAATCCCATCTCGAGGTAGCTGGAGCTGGTGGATTTTTTAAGCATTTTTCACTAAAGGTTTATCAGTACAGCAAAATAGATCAAATATAAATAATCTACACCACACTTATTTTAGTAGTTTAATATATAATTTTACTAACTTTTTCTAACACTTTGTCCGCGTAATCCTGAGTGGTAAGTGTAAGTTTTACGCTAACGCGTTCACTAGTTACATGCGTAAACTAACACTAAGCGCTCCGAGCGCTTTTAAGTTTTTTTGACGTTTACGTTCACTGTCGATCGTAAGCGCATTAAGATTTTAGTATGGAATCCGGTACAGCGCCTCTAGCGGTAACTGTCAAGAACTACAAATCTCCATACAAATTCTTAACGCGCTCACCAGTGAACGCGTTAGCGTAAAACTTACACTTACCAGTCTGTATGCCTTCCTCTCGAATCAATATGTATGTATATTGATGAAAACTGCATTATCCGTTGTGCAATTTAAAAGATGTCAGCGTACAGACAGCGGAAAGCGACTTTAATTTATACTATGTATAGATAGATATACGTAATGCACATAGTATTTAACACACCTTTTCCGATGTTCTTTATGAATAAATAAACAGATTTGACAGTCTTCTGACATACATCACCGACAATTTGATTAACAGACGATTCTTTTTCTTAAATGGTGATTTGGGCTCCGTAATTTTTAAAATTAAATCAAAATTGTTTAGTGTGATTAGGTCATATAATAATATCGTTGAAATGTCTTAAACGACAGCAAAAGTATAAAATAATTACAATATAACAGTATGAAATTGTCGCGTATGAAATTATTATCATGGCAAAGAGACTCCAGAAATATATTGAAATGTCTAAGTTCAAGAGAATTAAAGAGAGTGAATGGACCAGTGAGTTTTCGTCGAAATCTAAGCAATGCGTTGAGCGCACCGAATGTAGAACAATGCATCATGGATTCTTGCAGTATAACACCCAGCTGTCAAGAACCCCGTGTCATAATAGTGGGTGCTGGTTTAGCTGGGCTATCGGCAGCTCACCGTCTCGCACAATGCGGAATTAGAAATTTTGTGGTTCTTGAAGCGAAGGAAAGGTTCGTTAGCGGTGGCTATCATTTCAGTTATATTTACTTATATGATTGTGATTAGGTGTTGTTGCTGGTGTACTGTTTATTCTATTCTAATTTTGTTTTACAGACCAGGCGGCAGGATTCATTCTTGTTGGCTCGGAGACGCAGTTATAGAAATGGGGGCAGAATGGATTTTTGGTGCATGTTTGCCTAATACTGTTTACACATTGGCGTCACAAGATAGATTATTACAAACTCCGCTGCCACGGCTGGATTCATCTCGAGGATTATTTTGTACTAGTGAAGGAAGAGCTGTTGACTTACCAGTCACAATTACAGCATATCATACTTTTCGGCAAATAGAACAACAAGCCGCCAATTTATTCAGACTCGGTGGTGAAAGACAACATGGCACTTTACTAAATTTTATGGGTTTACGAATACAGCAAGAACTTTATAACTTTCCTGAAGATCAGCGGTATGACGCAGCAAGGGTAATGTTTGGTTTGACCAATATATTAAGAAACAGATGCGGTGATGACCTTTCGCTAGTTAGCGCCGATCAATATGGAAGTTATATAGAATTGCCTGGTGGAAATGTTCGAGTACCTTTAGGTTATGTAGGGGTTATGGCGCCCTTACTACGAGGGTTGCCTGATAATTCAGTACGTTACAATAAACCTGTAAATGTTGTCCGCTGGGGAACTGGTCAAGCAGGATCGGGGCGTGTCCTTATCAAATGCTGTGATGGTGAAGAATTAACAGCTGATTACGTGATTATGACGATGTCACTAGGGTGTCTCAAATGTCAAGCAGATAAGCTATTTGCTCCACCTCTTCCAGTTTGTAAATTAGACGCTATCTGTAATTTAGGTTTTGGTCTCAGTGATAAAGTTTTCTTAGAATACGCTGAACCATTTTGGGTATGTCATGAAGGAAGTTTAAAAATGGCTTGGTCTGCGGAAGAGCTCTGCTGTAGAACTGACTGGACTCGTGGAGTATGTTCTGTGGACGAAATGCCTGGCAGTAAACATGTATTATGCGCTTGGGTTTCGGGCCAAGAAGCCGCTATTATGGAATCGATGCCTGATAATGATGTTGCAGAGGCATTAACGCAATTGTTACGTAGATTTACTGGCAATCCGTGTTTACCTTATCCTCAAATGATGCTACGATCTCGATGGGCATCAGATCCACATTTTTGCGGTTCGTATTCTTATATGAGCTGTTGCTCTACAGTGAGTCATCAGTGTGAATTAGGCACGCCTGTACCTGGTCCGTGCGATCCATGTCCTCCTAAGTTACTGTTCGCTGGAGAGGCTACAGTACCTGGATATTTCGCCACGGCACACGGTGCTCGGTTGAGTGGAATAAGGGAAGCTGAACGAATAATACAACTCACTAAAAAGTTTGAAGGTCCTCCGCGTTAGTAGATTATTTAACAGTCTGATTTACGGTTTACAAAATGTATTTGTGATATGTTGTTATATTTATTCGTGAACACCTACTTGTATTTTTTTTTACTTAATAAAATCTTTAGTTATTATTTGTTTTTTACTATTCATTAATTGTTCTAGTATTAATTTTATAATTACGAATGATGATAGTTTGTGTTGATAAATATTTTTTTTAAATGAACTTTAACATAAATATAGGTAGATTCTTAAAACTATATATGTACTTAATAATATCTGGGAAACGTGATAAAGAAACAATTTTCATATCTATACTGATATCATCTACTGTTTCAGATAAACTTTTAATTAAGTCGTTATTTTCATTGCGCAGAAAGGATCCCGTACGAATACGTATCTATATATTTTTAAAATCATAGATATATACATATTCCTTTTATCTATAGCTATATTTAGAACCATTATTTGAAATTATTTTGAAGGAAGGTTGACCTAAAGAGAAGAGCCCTAAATCCGAAATCTATAAATACCGAGAACAAGCGATACCTATAGTTTCTTTCGACGCACTAAGAAAAGCAGTATCGAATATAATAAACAGCGTTATTGAAGTCAGGCGGAGCTGTTGTGTAGATTATCACGTTCCTTGAATAAGAAAGTAGCTGAAAAAATATTATTTCTCACTTTTTTATGTTTGAAGTCGGTTCTAACTTTTGAAAAAAATAATATATTTCATAATTTTTAGCGGTATTTATTGTTTTTTTTTATAATAGGCGTAACACTAAAAATAATTAATATCTGCATAAAAAATATGTCCATATAATATTAGGAAAGGAAATTTTGTTTATTTGCTCCATATATTTATTTTTAATACATATCTTAATACAAATATTATAAAGATAAAAGGTTTGTTTTTTTGTATTTAATAGGGTTCGGAAGTATCGATCCATTTCGGTAAAAAAGAGTCACCTACGGGAAGCTACATCATCATATGCGGTAAGGTATAATTTACGTTGGCGAAATCGCGGCAAAATTAGTTTGATAGAAATTGGGCCCATAAGCTGTCTAAAAAAATATTTTGAAAATATGTCAATAATACGCGTAAATATCGGCGAACAAACATACATAAAAATATATCGCTGTCGAACATATAATCGAATCCTTTTCGATTTTGAAATCGCTTAAAAAGTGGCGGCTAGTAGGTAGGCACTGCATGGCCTTGAGCGGCCAAGTCTGCAAATCCGTCTCTATTTACTTATGTCATTATTAGAACAGCAGAATCGCACATTCTACAATTAGTCGTAGCTTTTCCTGTTTTGTTTCGTAAATGCGTCACCACCTCGATTGCCATCATTGTGTGTACATAGATAGATAGATACATTATATGTTACGTGAACTTATAAGCAAAACTATTAAATAATATTATAAATGTGAAGGTTTCCTTTATCGGATGATTGTCCGTCTATCACGCCGAAACAACTGAACGGATTTTGATGAAATTTGGTATACAGATAGGATATTAGCTGACTTAGATAATAGAATTAGGAGTTCTAATTCCACAAAACATTTCCCTGGCGACCACGCGGACGAAAGCTTGTACTAAGTAAATCCTACGGTCTCTACTATTTTTCTTAGTTCCTAATTATTTTAGTTGCGAGTTTAGAAGTAATTAATAAGAACAAAGATAGTGTCCTGGTGCTAATATATAACTACCGGATCAACTGGCATGATTGAGTACATTAAAATAGCAATGGCCTGCCACTGGGCGGTAGAAGAAAAAAAGAATAAGGAAGGTACTTATGTAAAGTAGGCGAGTATCCATTGTTAAACAATTCACGTAAAATTAGTTTTAAACATAATCAACTGTTGTTGACTTTCCAAATACTTTTTTAATATCTCGTATGATATAGGTACTGATTTACATAACCACAAAATTGTAAAAGGAGATAAATTTAAAGGTGTGATTTTGATAAAAAAATAATGAAAGTGAATTAACAGCATGTTTTGTAGTTATTGATTACCCGAATATATACTTTTATTTTTTGAGGTAAGCATTCTTAGGTTTTGAAAAATATACATACGAGTTTGCTTATAGTTAACGAATAAACCACAGTTGCAATGTTACATGTATGTATGAGAAAAGACAATTATACGATTGTTGTAAAATAAATTTACCTACCTTCTGTAAGATTGAATTTCTTAAAACACTGTAATTTTATTTTTTTATAAAAGTGCTTTCTATACATTATTATTAAAAACACAAATATTAGTTTTTGTCTAACATTAATTCTACAATTTTTTTTAAGATAAAAATATTAAGCAATTCTTTTACATATTATCAGGCCCGGTGGGTGCCAAAATTTTCTTCCGGACCACTGCTCTATTTAGCGTTTCCTTTTCGAAAATATAATTATTATAATTGAACAACTGTATGCATAATAGTCGCACAATTTTATTAGTTATTATACTTATTATATCACATTATTGCATGAATAAACAAAATAACTTAAATCTAAAGCCGCCATTTTCGCCTGCGATATAGTATAATGCAAGTTATTCGATATTAATTTTTATTTGGAGAATAATCTTTCCGCAATAAATACGCCGAAAATTAAACGATATAAAAGCAGTTATTGATCAACTGAGGGTGCATGCATCGAAAAACACTTAAGAAATAATGAAACTGATGTAATTGCTTAACATATTTTTCAAAATATTTACCCACCCCGCTTTAAATCATTATAATAAATACATACACTTGACTTGATACTACAAAAAAAATTTTACACACACTGCTTATACTTTTGACGCTTTTGTTTACTGTTTGAAATCAAAACAATTTAAACAGAGAGCTGGTTTTAAAAATGCGCAAGAGTTTAATAAATATTAAAGCTTCAGTATGTGGAAGTATAAATATTGTATTTAGTAATTATAAATTGTTATATTTAGTTTTCTCGTCTTACCTATGGGTGCAGGACACCTCTTTCACACCACCGAAACAATCTTCTAGCGAGAATGGCCTTCTATGGTGAATGTATTTATTTGTACCACTTAATAAAATTCTGAATATTTTTGATAACTATTAATAATTATTTATTAATTTTCAATCACTACTAATTGTACGGTTTTCGAAGCTGATTTTCACAGAAACTTCTGTGATCTGTTGAGTCGCCAAATTTCAATTGTGCGTTTCTGAGCTGTTTATTCTATTTTTCCATTTTAATAAGTTTATAATAGTAACAAATAAAGTTGTTAAACCATTTAAACGTTAAATGTTAAACCACAATAAGTTTCTGTATTCGAATAATTATAAAGTTGCAAACAAATTTTATTTTTTCTATTAGCTTATATCACGATTTTTTAAGCAAGGAAAATTATGCTTGGCTTATTTAAATGATACTGTGTTTTTATTTACCAGTGGTGTCAACAATAACGTGCGTCCTCATTGAAACTGCAAAACTGGAAGGCCAAGGCCTCACGTGTTTTTACGTCACGAATAACAATGATCTAATAAGACTACGCATCGGTGCTCAACACAAAAAGATAGTATAGCTTAGTCTTAGGCTTAACGCGATTATTAACCTTATCTTTGATTATTATAATATTCATTGTTCATAAAATTATATTAGTTAACTATGAAAAAGGAAAGAAGTATTAAAACAAGGCGTTCCCCACTACTGTCTTAGGTAGTAATACCTAGTATTATAATATCTGCAATACCCATAACATGTAATCTTTGCTCGTAGTTTGGATACCATTTGTAAACGAGGCCTCGAAACTGAGATTTCGGGCGTAAATTCGGACTAACTACCACAGCTTGTTATATAAGTCGTATCTTCCATTAATAGGTGCCTTCCTTGTGGATGGAATCAAATATTAAGAATGGGAGGAATGGAGGGGTCCTCAGTGGGGTGTTAACGATTACAGACGCAACCGGAAACAACTGCTTATCGAGTCTTCCGAAGCACGGAGGAACTCGAGATAATAAATTGTTAGTCACCCATAGATTTTGCACTTTCATGATGACCACTTAATTTGATAATAATGATCAAATATAAAATTAGGCTGGGCGTCAAGATAAAAGAAAACGAGGTAGTTAGGGAAAATCGATGGCGTAATGCGGGTCAAAAACGATAATTAATTACTGGCAAACCATTATGATTATTTTATAAGTTAAGTGCTCCGTGAAGTCCTCTGCTACAAAGTAATTCCTATATTTATCAGTTTTTACTATACAAAAAAGTATAATTACGAACAAAAATGGAAAAAAAATGGTGAATTAAATGAAAGTAATTTTTGGTGTATACACACTCCCTAATGTAAAATTGTTGTATGGTAGTTGAATATAAGGATTAGTTATGTAGGGAATAAAATACAAGACTACTAGATATAAAGACAATTATAATAATACATTTAGTAATACAACTGCACTGATTGCAAATATTAAAATTATGAGGTAATTGTGTTAACTTAATACAAGTGAGATTATTAAAGACAAAATTTTAATCCTTCCAGAAAGTTTCCATCTGTGCCAGCCGTAGAATCATCAAATTCAATTTTAGTTCTATAGCCATTGTAGACACTATTTCTAAGCTCCACTACATATGAATATGGATCAAACATGTTCTTTGGCCATATGAAACTAATTTTATACCATTTATTTTGTTTGATGAAGCATGGTTCATTGAGTTCTATATCAACATTAGAATCATATTCAACTGTGTTCATAAAATTTATGTATTTTATTATAGTGTTATCAGATTCAGATATAATTGTCACAGACAACTGTTCTGAATACCGTTTAGGTATGATTGTGTGGAAATTAAGCACTGGTGCCATTCTGGTTGGTATGCTTAGTGAGTTAATAAATATTGATTTGTTTGTTTTCAATCGGCAATGTAAAGTGTAATTATTAATATCTATGATAAGAGGTGCTGCAGACGTAAGAGGAATACGTTTACAGAAATACCATTGCAAATTTAATGGTCTTCGAGGTGATACTTGCACATTCACTGCAGGTATTAGACTTCTGTTTTCTATATCTTGCTCATCTAATATTTTTTTCTTTATATATTCTAAGTCTTGAGGGAGCAAAAGGTTAGTAGCAGCATTTTGTATCTCTTCAAATTCATTCAATGACAGTGTGTGAAACCTTAATAATTTAAATAATCCTTTTTTGAATAGGACAGCATTTCTATTTTCAAAGGAATCAGGAATGTTATTTTGCTTGCAATAATACTTTGTCCATACAAATAAATTCTTAATTAGATCAACTTCCTTAATATTAATATCGTTACTTGACAGTATATTCTTCATACATGAGAAAGATATATATTCAATGAACTCTTCAAGAAGGAAACTAGCATGTTCACAAAATAATTTCATAGCAAATGAAGCCAGTTTTGGATCTTGTAAGTGATCAGGATAGTTAAGTATATCAACTACATTATCAACACTAATATTAGCCTGTATATAAACTATACATAGATTTGATAGGTGATCTAACAGATATTTTCGAGATGCATAAAGCAATTCAAAAGCTTGATCAATAGATGATATTTCCACTTGATCAGTATAAATGTAATTCAACAAAAGTTGAAATGTGTCAGGTTCTATGTCAGTTATTACTATATCTTCATTGGAGGATAATGGCCCATAAAACATAGCTTCAAAAACTGGACTACTTATACCTAAAAGCAATTTATGTGCTTTCAAATTTTGCCCAAGTACAGAAAAAGAACAGTCACTGAATTCATATGAAACTAATAATTTCTTGACACGCTCATGAAGATTAGTTGGAGAAGTTTCTTTAACAATGTAACCCATCTGTAACAATACATAAAACACGAATATAATAATAGTGTCCTGGCACTAGAACTTATATATTGTAAAATGTGAACACTAACCGCTTTACCACTATGATGATTTTTATGATTCAGTTACCAAACGTGCTTCCAATCGATTGATCCTTATCTCGTTATGTGAAAATTTTATTAATTAGCACAGTTCAATTATATGCGTCCATATAAGCGAAAAATTAATCTATTATAATATTATCAAAATAAGATCAGTACAAATTTAAAAGTTATTCTGTTAATTAATGATAAACCTGAAACTATGAATCTGTATCTCGTTCAACAAACAAACAAAACTTAACGCTATAGACAATTTTCCTATTTCTACAGGGGAGGGGAACGCCATAGACAATACATAATTCTGGTCTTGACGCAATCACAAACAAAGAAGGACCAAGAAGGAGATATTACTTTGGACTTGGCACTATAAGTATAACAAGACAGTACTCCCAGCTGAAAAACGAGCCAAGCAAGATGTCAAGTATAGAGGCTATATGTCCCTCTCTAATAGAGCGACAATAACATTTTAATTGAGTACCTATAGTCATAATACTTATTGCTAAGTGAGACTTCATGTGGTTCAGTTTTTGTTTTTTTAATTAGTTCGGCTATATTAAGTTTTTGTATTCAATTATTTGTATAAACATGAGATTGTACAATCCCTCGATATTGCATGTATGTAAATACCCACGGTGAAATAGCGTTAGCGCGGTAGGAGAAAATGATACTGACTTCCAGGTTGTAAACCTCTATTTAACTAAATAATCTTCTTCTTATATACTACTTAAATCTAAGAGGGGTATAATAAGGACACGTGATAAGTTAATGTTAAGGAAGCACATTTATCGAACGTGAATTATTTGCATACTAGTGCATTCCATCCAAATCGTGTTTATAAGATAATTCTTACTATTTGCTTACCACATCGGTGTGCTCGCTTCAATGAGAAAGTATTTAAAAATAAACGAAAGCACTATAAAAGCACATCCACTGCATGATGCTTTTTTAGTGCTTTCGTTTTTTTTACATGTAGAAAAAGTTGATTTTTGCAGGAAACGAATGGACCAAAGACAGTCATTTCCGTTCCTTTTAAATAACATATTAAAAAACTGAAACTAGAAAAGTTCAAAACTTAGATATCAATACAAATACAAAAAAATAGAAATAGAATATGATATGTTTATTGAGTTTTAAAAACTAATTTACTTTTAAACTTAAAATAAAACTGGAAAGGTTGTCATGAAGATATCAAAAACGTGTCGTAGCGACATCTAGTTTTATTTCGGGAACTAATGTTTTTTTAAAATACTTCCTCATTGCAAGATGAAACAAAGTGACACATGGCATCCCTTTTTCTTCTTCTTAACTTTAATGGCACTTTGCGTCACTACATTACTGCCAACTTCACGTAGGAGACATGGCATCCCTTGTGACTATCTCTCTCAGCTCGGATTAGCTTCTATAGAAGGAATAATGAAAAGTACACATTAATTGATAATATTTAAGTTTATTTTCGTAATAACAATTTTTCACAGTTACAAGTGCTGTTATATTAGTTCTACGTCCATGGATATTTCTCGTAAACAGAGAAGAAAAAGAGTAATATTTTGTGGTCTGTGATAATCATGGACGTAATATACTATTTAACAGAACCGACAACTCCCAGCTGAAAACCGAGTTGAGTAAGATGTGTCTCTTTCTAAGATAACATAAGGTGATAATAACATGTTCGTATATTTATTACTTTGATAACAAGTCAATGCAGTACAAATGAGGAAGTTTTTTTTTTAAATAAAGAAACTAAAAAAAATATGTCACTAGATGGCAGCACACAATGTTGGATCTAAACGTCAATTCATGACGTTAAACCAAAGAGAATAGAATTGTCAGTTATGGATCTGATAGCTCAGATTAATTTAAAATTTAATTAGTCCGAGTTATGCAAACGCAACTCGATTAATACAAAGTAATCTTTGAATAAATTTCTTTTTTATTTGTATAGAGGAAAATGAAAACTAACATAATGGAAGTGAGCACAGAGGTTTTTTAAATTTGTGGAAATGAGTTGAATTAATGCTGTGATATAATTAAAAGTGGCAATTAGCTACGGTATACAATAATATTACCGCCAAATAGTTTTTGTAAATAAAATACTTATGTCATAGTAGGTCAAGGAATTTTTCATTATAATATTTAAAAAATGTTCTGAAAACAATAACAACTAGGTAAGTTAGTTTAATTGCTATTAGTTGTTTGTTGAACTTACAACAACAAAACTACATCAAGTGTCAATAATATCTTTATATTATGTATGGTGAATTAATGAATAGGGTTTATTAATCAGCAACAAAAGTCATAAAAACGATAATTATAATAAAAAATACGTTTATTATTTATATACTTACCCGATATGTATCAAATATAGTAGGTATTCGTTCAATATAACATGACTACTGGCTAAAATGATGTTTGTGTTAAATAACTTGTACTTCCGAAATTAAGACTTTAAAAAACTATGATCAGTTATTAAATCTTATATTCATAATTAAATCATCTAAATAAACATTCAGCAATCAACAAGAAACGTCTGTTCATAACGAACAGCAAGGTTATTATAACTTTAAATTTCAAAATCACCACATTTGACGGTTTAAAAATGACAAAAAAACAACAATTAATGGACGGCCCCCTACCGCTTGTGACTTGTATTTTTCACGGTATTTTGAGTTATATAGTGAGTAGCCGAAATCTATAGATTTCTTTACGTAACTATGTATACGTAGTATAATCAAATAAAATGGAACTTTTGTACGGACCAGTACAAAAAAATTATTGACATACACTTACTTACTCCTGATACATTAACTTTTTAACCATTCTCGAAAAAAAATCTTGACTTGAAGTTCACAATCGCGAATCACAAAAAACGCATATCGATAAATAATAATATGCAGATATTGATATTCGACAAGTTCATGAAAACATTAATAACACTGTTAACCCACGCAAATAATTTAGGGGAATTCCCTTTTTATAACTTAGGAATTTCTCACAACTGAATTGCCATGATTAAACTCGAGTTGTTACCTGTCATATTTATTTTGAAAATGGGAGAAATTTTTAAAAGTTGAGTTTGATTGAGATTTTCTGATAAAGATTCAAGGGCCCCCTGAGCTTGAGGGCCCCGGGGCACTGCCCCGCCTAACCCCTTGGTAGCTACGCCACTGTATATAGAATTTGTGTTTCAAAATAGCTTACCATTTTTTCTAATAATTTAGCAGTAAGATATATTTTATTTAAATAATTTATTAATATCAGCATTAGCCTCAGCTTTCGCTGATAATGATTTGAAAAAAATTGCATCAGCATCCGCTGATACAGTAAAAACTCGCATCAGCTACAACCCTAGTTTGAATCCGTGATATCGATGTGTGAAAGTTTCGAATCTTAGATGGTTTGAATACTTTTGAATCTTTTATGGATTTTTCTTCTTCTTTTATTAATGGCTTATCTGCGCATTTCACACAATTCTGCCAAAGTCAAGTGAGTAAATTAATTTCTACATGTAAAATGAAAATGAAATGAATGTAAGATTAATTAAAACATTGTTTGTATCATTGTGGTTTGTATTGTCTTATATGTCTGTTTTTAATGAATCTACAAAGAGTAAATACACATCTTGTTAAAGCATCTCTAAAGGACATGCTTTACTTACTCTTTGGTCTTGTCAATAATGGTTTGATGGTGTAAAATTGGTGTGCCGGTGCATTTACCTCCTTTTCTTACAGTATATTTAAACGTGTGTCGATTTTTATAAAATGTGTTAAATATATAATTAATTACGATGTCTGTTCAACTTGAAGAATCATTATTAGACTTTAATTTGGATTTCTTGCATCAAACATCTAACAAAATTTTAATAGTAAGTTTTAGGTTATGGACTTATGTTGTATTTTGTTATTTCCCTTAAATTTTACAAGTCATAAAATTTATTCGTTAATAATTCAATTGATTTTATTGACAAATTATTTTTCTTACTACAGGAACATTGCGTATTGTTGTTTCCCGTGTTAATTTATTTTGTACCTAGGGGCAATTTGATCCTTATTTATTATGTTAGTTGTTATCGGTGTCATTTCTGTTGTACCACGTTCTAAGTAAAACAAACTGATTGTTGTTTTAACTTTGGTACATATCGACGTTATTCTGTATAAAATATAAAAAAATCACTTCTTTTAATTTAGTTATTAACTTTTTTGTGGCTCTCTATTTATATGTGCTTTCCTTTGTGAAAAGGGTTGTCTCCATTCTAACTATTTGTGAAAATGAATACATTCTGTTTGTGTCATGCATCCCTGCTAAAAGCACATCCAAGATATTAACTTTTTTCAACTTGAGATATCCAATCATAATTTTAACATAAATCCTGGTATCTTTTTTTCTTGTTAGTCAAGTTTTAAGCTCTATTTATATATTTTATAATAGATACAGATTTAGCAACATGTTCTGAAATGTTCTTTTTCGAGGGGTTGAATGTGCTGTGGTCACAAAAATGGGTGTATGCTGTAAAATAAAATATACATAAATATTTAAAGTAGATATAATTCACAATATTTGGATGTGGACAATATTTGGAATCTGTAGTCTGGAGTTCAACCCTCTACATTTGGACTGCAGATTGCTGTTGGCCATCCCTGAAATAATAACTAACAGATTTAGTAAATGTGTACTTTCAGATTCTAGGGCCCACAGTAAGCCTGATTGTTATAGTCAGTTTACCTTTACATTTGGTTTAAACATATACTAAATGGATACAATTTTATTTTCCAGGCACCTGAAAAGTATAATGATAAAAATGAAAAATGTCGCATTGCAATTAATGTTGCAAAGAAGAAGATCGTTGCTACTGAGTAAGTTCTTTTTCACATAAATAATTTTAGTGATAACCCTGTGATTGCTAATAAACAATTTTGTTTGTTATGTTATGCTTTACATCCAAATTTCTGTGTATTGTGGTGAAATTACATATTAAAATGATGTGAGAGCTGGGGTTTTACTGACAACTTTTGTGAAGCGAAGAAATTACAGCCAGAAATTAGATATTTGCAAGTTATTAAAATATTAGAGTTTAAGTTTTATAAAACAATACTTATTTTTTTTTAAAGAATATTCATGATTAGATCTAAGATTAGCCCCTGACAAACTTTATCTTTTTAATATTAGTATAGATCTACCGTTTCCAAATTGTTTTATTAATGTTTGATGAATTTTCAGCTCTTTAATCAGAAAATACTATGAAAAGAAAGAAGAATTAGAACAACTTGAAAAAGCATTATACGCATCAAAAGAAGAATGCAAGCAAGTTTGTATTGATTTCCGTAATGTTACAGATAGATGTAACCAATTAGACAATGTAAGTAAATATCTATTTTAAAAATAAAGTTATTTATCCTAATGATGTGATGCTTTGCAAAATTGTGTTATAACTACTATAAAAAATATGTTTGTTTAAAACTATAATATGAAACTATAATATTGTTACATAAAGTATTTCAAATAATTTTAGGAGGTACAAGTTCTATGTAATTGTAACCAACAACTCCAAGCAAAATGCAGCGAGCAAGAAAACCTTGTTGGTGCTATGCAATCTCATGTACATCAATTACAGGTATGTGAAAAGAATATGATAGTAAATATATGATAATAAATGTTGGGCATTTGCCAATGGAGAGTGTGGTCACCTATACATAGGCATACCCTCGCTTACCAGTGAATACTTTTGTGTTGCTATTAAGTCAATATCTTTCTACATAAATCACTACAAAATAGGGGTGTGTCCTACAAACGAAAATGCAGGTTTCTGTTCTATGTTCAGAAAATATGAATTATTTTAACTTCTAAATATTAACATAATACATTTTAAGATACTAATTCGTGAAAATATTATGTTTTGAAAACTTCCCAAAAGCAGGGAAAATAGATTACAAAAATTTGTTAAAACACATTTTTTTTATGTGTGTTCAACTGTAATTAGTATCAAACTATTAGCAGATATCGTGTTTGCTATTTGTCGTGTGGAGTGTATCCTTATATTATAGAGCGTATCCAAATAAGAAAGATTGCCCCGATTTTCTCTGCCATAGCACCGTGTGATGTCATTTAGTGGCTTGAATTTGTGAGAGCATTTTCGGTCGACTAGCAGCAGTTCCACAAAAAGCAAATAGTGTTACATTGAATATTTCTCAGATGTTAATTATATAAAAAAAAATATATATATTGTACAAATAATAATATTTATTTATAAAATAAAAAAAAATTGTCATATGTGACCATACCAATATGGATCTTCAAAATAGGGATGACGACTGTGTGTGTAAAAAAAAAGAAGTTCTATGTAGTCTGTCAGTCAGATTAAAGAAAAATATCGGATACTTTTTTTAACTTCAATATAAAAAGAAATAGCTTAGATAACAGTTGAGAAGTGGGGACTCGCTACGTCACCGTTAAAAAAAAAAAGATTACAAAAGCGTGACGTCATGTGATATTTTAACTCAATGTATCGCCCTAATTTAATGATTACGTAAAAAATAATAAAATATGTGTTTAATATTTCTCAACAATGTACCTGACAGACACAAACAAATATTTGTCGTCATCCCTATTGTTTAGAAGTCTGATTTTCCTTTAGCACAGTGTACTAACACGTGCTCTGCCGCCGTTCTGGCGATGGTTGATGGTTCTGGTTAATTAATACTATAATAGATAGATCGGTCTCTGACTCTTAGGTGTTAAAGAAAATTAATACATTTATTTTTGTTCCATTATGTTATATAATGGACTGTGATATACTGTGCCTCCATTAGCTGTTCTGCGACTTCGTCCGCATGGAAAGTGGCTTAAGTTACAAACAGACAATTCAATTTTATTTATATGTATAGATAATATAATATATTATTAGGCATACTATATGCTCGTGTAGTATTATTCTCTTATATTTAAATCACATCTTTTATTATATTAGAGGCTTTTAAATTGATGATCTTATCAATTTTTTTTTGGCCTTATTCCGTTATACACAGAAATTCTGCCAACATCCCATAGTGAGAGAGACTGAACAGTAGTTGGAATTAACCAGTTCTTCCTTGAGATTGTTCTTTCTCTACTAAAAAAAGGACAACACAAAAGCAAACATCACTATAACTTTGATAGTTTGATAAATACATAAAATAGATTTTTTTGCAAATTTATAAAAAAAGATAATATCAAATTATAAAAGTCCTAATCCTTTTTTTGCAGACCCTTGTCAAAGAAAACGACACAGTTATTGAAGGTTTGAAAATAGAAAATCAACTTAGAAAGGCCAATGTCGATGATTGTGAAAAGAGGATATCATTATTTCAAAAAGAAAACGATGCACTCTTGAAACATATGAGTTTAATGAAAGATATAATATTTGGAAAAAGTAAGTATTTAAAATATCTATTCCACATAATATCAAAATTCATACAAATTACAGTAAATTTCTACTGCGGATGGTGAATCTTTGTTTGCGCGTAGCTGCCTTACTAATTCCAACGAAAACCGATTTGTATGACTAGAATTGATAATGAGTCTTGTTTCTATAAGCATAACCTGTAAAATACAACGTATTAGTCAGAGTCAGTCCCGCGGATAGTTCAATGGCGCGATACGTGAATCATTTTGATTTTCCGACATTTGCTGCTCTGCGAAATCTAGCCTTCTGCGCTTGTACAGTGAACAACATGTTAGGTTATACAAATCTGTCAATTTTCTCTACTTGATTAATGTTCCGAGCATAGAGTTTAATAATAAAGGCAGATAATTTATATATTATTTTACCGAACCATGTTTGTGGTGTTACAGGAAAACTTAATAAACGCTACAAACGCATTCTAAATAAATATAATAAAAATTATGAGAGTGATGGAAACGATTCAGTATTGGAAGGGACAGAGAGTGATGATGATACAAATAGTCACTGTATTTATGACGACATTTATGAGGAAAAGGTATGGATATCACTTTTTTTTTTAATGTTATGAATAAAACTTATAAATGCTGTATTTTTTTTAATTCGATTATATTTTTTTTGTTAAAGATTTGAGGTATAAGTAAATAGATACTTTGAATTTAAGATTTAGTTTTAGTAAGTAAATTTTTGGTTAAAATTTTGTATTGTTACTTTCAGATACCTGTTAAAGATTATGCACCCGAACTTGGTAAGTTATTAATGTTAATGTTAGTTTATTATTTATGGATTATACTTGAATCAACATGGATATCTAGCTATATACATATATCCTGCTCTGTTTTATAGCGTTTGACGTCACCATCCGTCTCTTCAGTCTGGTTTCGACAATCTGGCAAGCATGCCTTTGTTAATTTTTACATTGACGCTATCTTCCAGTTGAACTTTCTTATCTCAGTGTACGAGCGTTACAACGTAAATTATATGTTATTCTGTGACATACTCTCGCGTCCAAACGCTAGTGTTGGATTCAGCACCGAATTGTGCGATTTACGGCTTAAGTTTTGTTGTAACTGTTATCAAGTTTTCCCAAAGGTCTAATTACACTATTTTCTGCAGTCACTGTCCGATGTCAGCGGTACGCCTTCCGTTCTTGCTAAAAGCACATTGAAAATAATCTCGTTCTCAAACACTTCATAATCGTCAAAAGATGTATTTTCTGCAACTACCACGCTATCTTCTGTATTAAGCAGTAAATTCTTGTTTAGATCATTAATTAGCAATATCTCTTTCATCGAACTTATTTTTTGAAGCAATCTTATTTAAATATGAAAATATGAACAGCTTTGCTAACAGCTGGTACCTCTGACATTATTAGCGATAAGCACGACACCAAATCAGGGCTTCAAACTGTAGTGTAATCGCACGCACGCCAAAATAAGTAGACGGCGCAGCCACATCAGAATACTGTCAATCGTATATCTTGGTAGTTTATTCCAGAGCTCCTTTCACTCTACTCTGTCTTATGCTTTAGATGATATGTAGATCCAAAACTGCAGAAACATTAATTCCACTTTATTTATGTTTGTAGAACCAGTTATGGCTAAGAATGATAACGATTTAGAATCGGATTTTAGCAATGAACAAGCTAGTGCTGACACAGGTAGAGGTTCTTCCCTTGCCTTTTCGGACACCGATAAATGTTTTCACAGTCCAGACTACTTTATGGACCATAGTCCAACTGATACGGAAGATATTACAGAGAAAATACAGATTAATCATATTGTTACCAGTCCAAACCTTTCAGACCAAAAGATTGACATGGCTACAAATCCGACACCCGCTAAGCAATCTATTTTTTCTCCGACTAAAACCAAGGTACCTTTTGAAGTAAATGAGGTAAATGCATGTACGGAATTAGGATATGACAGTCAAACTAAGATTATACTACCTATAGAACAACAACAAAATTACAAAGAAAAACAATTTGACGTCAATAAGATTGTTCATAAAGATGCAATTACAAAAGTTTCAGATGAGACTCTTGCATGTCATAATGAAAGTAGCGAGAAAGAATGTTTAGAAATGAATAATAGTAATAAATTTAATGAAAATAATAGAAGAGATGGTGAAATCGAGATGATTTTAAGTAAAATGAGATTGTCCCATTCATTGATTACTCCCATACCAACGACTCCATTAAAGTCGGGATATTCTTTATCTGATCCTGTGAATAAAGAGTCGAATTTGTGTATGCCAGATCATAATTTCGTATGCAAAGATGCACTTAAAGTAAAAGAAGAAAATTTATCTCTAAGAGCCAATCTTGTTAAACTTGCAAATGAAATTGAATCTATAAAAGACATATTAAAAAATAAGAATTTATTGACTCAGCAACATCTAATGACCTACAACACCGAGATAGAATTTGATGTTAACGATGATAATATTAGAAAATTACCTGCTGAGGTTAATCAAAATAATTCAGAATCGTTACATTTGGAAATGATGAATAACAGTATTTCTGGCGACGATAGTCCAGTCTTTGATGAATGTGATATAGTAAAATCGACCAGGAAAAGTCTTAAACGATTAAAGTTTGAAGAACCACTGCTGTCGTTACAAAATGGTTCACCGAGATTATTACCGGAATCTATTCAAGAAAAAGATGATCAAAAAGAAGTCATAAGTGATGTTAGAAATATCGATGATAATGCCAATAATTCTATAAGAAAAGCTTATAAACAACGGAAACTAACCAAATTGGAACGGTTACGACAAAAATTAGTACCTAAAAATAAAATCAAAGCAAACATTGCACCCATAGGAAAATTACGTAAGAAGCACAAGCATAGAATAATCAATGGCGTGACTGATAAAGTGGCTATATCTTTAAAAAATAAAAAGGCTTATGAAAAAGCTGTTAAAATCATGGTGGAATTGAAGTCTCAACAGAAAACTGGAATCGCGCAAAAGACAAATAGTTTTGAAAATAAAGGTAAACAAACTTTTAAGAAGAAAAATAGTATACCGATTAATAAATCTCAATTTAAAATGAGTTCAATAAGTGAAATATCAACGTCCAATAAAAATTTGACAAACCAAATTGACCAAAATACCAAAGATCAGCAAAATTCCAAAAAAATAATTATTCTTGAGAATATACTTTTAACAAATTCACAAAACTGCAATGAAAAGAAAATATCATCTCAAGACTCTCTACATACGTGTCTGACTGATGTTTCTGCTGCTAAAAACACAAATAAGGTAACTTTTAACGAGAAAGAAGATTGTTTAGTGACTACACCAAAATTGAAAGTTTTACAAGAAGAAAACATCAATGTATCCAATATTTCAGCAGATCGTAATGACTTTATTAATGACAAGGAAAAAGAAAAAAAAAATAATGTTATTGAAGATAAACAACAAATGCAAACACAATATTTACCTATCGACAGTAATACAAAAATTAGTGTATCTCCATGTGCAGAAAAAATACAGAATACAGAAGACGAAAATAAAGTAACAAACGATTTAAGTGAGGCTTCAAATGTTCATACAAAAAATATGACGTCAGAAACAGAAAAAAATGATATTACTACACCTTTGGTAAAGCAGCATGAATTGCCTAAAAATTTGATTACAACACGAAGTCGAACAAAAATTGCTGATAGTTCAAGTTCGTGCCAGATTAAACATTATAATATTGTAGATGACCAACTTAAATTAGCTGATGAAATAATACAGGCTTTGAATAATAACGTAGACATAAAAAATGATATACAACAAAGAGCACGAAAACGTCAAAACAGAATGTCAGATGATAGGTCTGATATTGAATGTAAAAGAAGGTTACGCAGTTCGACTGTACGTGCTCCATCTACTGAAGAAAATATTAAAATACCTGAAAATATTAAGAATGTGGCGGTTTCAGCTGTCGCTGATAGTAATGTTAAGCTTGATACTGCTTGTGTAAATCTTTCACAAGAAGAACCTAAAACGAAAGAAGCACATAGACAAATACGAGATAACATAGTAAGCTATGACGATCTTGATTTATTTAGTCCAAATATTAAACAGATTCACAGCTCCCAAAATTCCGCAACCGAAAAAGAAGTTATGCATCCTAAAAATAGTATTTTATGTATGATGTTAGATAAATACGGGAAACGATCCGCTAAAAACTTTTCAAAGAAGATTTCAGGTATGTTTTTATAATATTTTTAATTTTTCACTCATAATAATTGTTATCAGAATGAATTAAAAAAATATTGTTGTATCGTCAATTTTAGTTTCGATTGCAATACTTTGAAAATTATGTTTTCGTTTTTCAGATACAGTCATAAATACAATCAGTCAAACTATTGAAAATGAAATCTCTACAATCATAGACGCTCCCAGTAAAGATTCAAAAGAACTTATGAACGGATTTGTTGATAAGATTAAAAAATGGAACAACAAACAATTTATGGCTGGTTTGATGCAATACTTGAAAGATCCACAACGGAAAATCGAATTGTATGGTAAAACGTGTACACCTCCAGCACCACCCATGACAAAATCTGAGCAAATTCTTTTATATGTAGTCGCCCAATTGAAAAATATTTGGACAACTATTAACGTCGTTGATTGCTTGCTACATAATATGGAATACGTGCTATTCAAACTGAACCGAACACCAGGTTTTGATACAATCGAAAGCATGTCCCACTTCTACGCGATCACTTGTCGATATTTCAAAATGAAGAGTCGATTGAGACTATTCATGTTAGATGCAATGTATTGCATCCAGTTCAAATCGGTGCCGCTTATTAAGCAGTGTATGGAAGTATGGATGCATGTTTTGCCATTGGCGCATATGGGAATTGGTGAGTGTTCTAATTCTAATACAGTAACATTGTTTTTAAAATAGTTTTCTTTAAATTTATAACACAAATTTATTGTAAGATTGCAATAATAATATATTTTTATTTCATTTCAGCAAAAAGTACTCTGGTAACGTGTATGGTATATCTTTTACACTTTTATAAATGTGATGACAAATATAATAGAGTTCAGGATATCAGATATCTCCTAAATCGTAAATACTTCTATGAAATTACCGAATGGAATGAGCCAAAAATAATAGAAATGTTTAGGAATGCCATCAGAGATGTAAAAGGTAAGTTAGTTTTGTTCGTGCGGCTGTAACAATTCATTTGTGACATATCAAAAGAACTTTTATTTTTTTATAAGTTTCATAATACATAGTATAAAAAGCTTTTGTAGATATTCAAGAAGATATGGAAGTGGCAATAGAAATGTTTCTCTATTATCGTAACTACCTTGTCTAAAATTAAAAAAAATTAGATATAACAAAATTACTCACATCGAGATTATAGAATAAAGATTTTTCCATTACACGATGAAATAAAATGATACGTACGATCTGTTATGATGCCTACTGTTTAGGATCAAGACTTTTGACAAAATTGTTTTGACATTTTGTGGTAACCTGTTGTAGTGCTTTGTGTACAGTAGGGGAACGAAAAGGTTCAACCAATTTCAAACCGTTTCTTTTGAATTCGCCAGTACTATTATTAAATTAAAAATTATAAAACTAAAAATATAATACTGCATGAAAAAATGTCATAAAACTAAAAATATAATACTGCATAAAAAATGTCATTGTTGACATTAAATAAAATTGATATTGGCGTTACTGGACATATCATTACATACTGTTTTTTATTATATTGGTAGGTACTGATTATTAATCTGTTGCAAGCAAAATTAGACTTTAGGGTCACAAACTTTTTCTTTCTCCCACTGAGAAACTTTGGACATAACTAATATTGTTAGTCTTCTAATTCAAATATATTTATTTTAGTCATTCCTATGGAGATTAAATTACTGAGGATAGCTTTAATTATCATCGCTAAACGCCATGGTCCAAAGTGGTGTCAAAAAAATATAATAAGAAATCTGCTAATACCAATGATAGAATCTGATGACTACCCTGAAAGAGTGAAGATATTCTGCGTATCAATGTTGGGGCCGTTGTTAAAAACATATCCAATTGATATGAGAGTTCATTTTGAGATCGTGATGAATATGCTGTTGGACATGTTAAAGCGAAATCGTAAGTACTAAAAGCTCTATTTATTTATTACTATTCGTACGAATTAACATGACACCTAAGGACTTATTATATGTCTCACAAAACGAATGAAATGCTGATATGACTCTAAAGAAAATGATATGAAAATAATTTATGTTACAGCAAAGGTAGGACATATTAAAATTATAACAATGAATTGAAATTTCCCACAAATTCCGTTTGAAACAGAATGGGTCCTCAGGTGTCATGTTAATATGTACGAGTTATACACAATGCTGTGAGGCATTAGCAAAAAGTTTGTTAATTATACAAAAATATTATTTCTTTTTCATAAATCTTTCTCCTTTTTAGCTTCACCAGAGATGCACGAAGCCATCTTCACTAGTTTGATATATATGAGTAGGCATAACTATAATCGTGTTGTGCATACTCTTCTTACTTGGAAACCACAGCGCATATCGCCAGAATTTGAAAAACTCATTAGTGATTTCGTATGTCAGAAACCCTTAAAAATGTGGAAAACGACATTATCGAAAATGAACGTCATGCAATGAAGATTTGTGCATTTAATTGTATGGAAATTGTTAATTTGGTGTGATTCAAACAATTGTTTAAAGACAAAAACTTTTGCAGTTTTAAACTAGCATTGTAATTCTTATTGTGGTTAGGCAATGTATGTAATATTACTATTATATTTAAATGTGTACCATTTATGTTAAAATTATGTAAATGGAAGTATGCTGCAGGCTGCATCACTATTTTTCTGTTGTATTCGTTTTGTTTTAAATTTTTTTATTTTATTGTACGACAAGTCAACTGTGATTATATAAAACTACTTCATTTTGGAAGTAGCTTAAGTACTTTAATGTGAATAGTAAAATGTGGGAAAAAAAATAAATAACTACCCTCATATACAGTATTATTTATTTATGATGTATAAATATATTACAAATACGCACTCAGCCTTAACACAATATTAATCATCTCAATCCTCAATCTGAACCGAAGAAAGCTAACGTCATGCATTTCTCGTCCTCCTTTTAAGTGAATGACAAGAATTCAGACTTAAGACAGGATTAAGTTCAAAATAGATTGAGAGACATTTGTTGGTAACTAGATGTGTTAGTCTACAATTTGGGGACAATGAATATAGTAGTGGCAATGTCTGATTGTTATAATTAGTATTTGTATAATATGCGTAGAGGTTAAAAATTAGTTTTATATTTCTTGATTTCTACCATTATAACATGTATATTTACTAGTTGTGTTCTGGCATTAGGAGTTAACAGTTTTACAAATTTATGGTAATATTGCACGAAGTTTGTCAATGCCATTTGCAATAGTCCAGATCCAGTGACTAAATTCGGGAATGATACAAGTACTTCTCTGTGAATTTCTTCGAGACTCTGTTTCCATCCCGCACTAAATGATGCTACCAAAGGTAAAGATCTTCTTTCCAAACTAACTAGTTGAACTTTATTGTCGCCCTCGAGTAGCTGTTCTCCTTCTTTGACAAATTGCATCATACCACCAAAATGTGGACTTAGTATTTCTTCCACATACTCTGTACTTCTAGCTTGTAATTGTTCTCTAAAACTTTCTGCTTCTTTAGTGTTATCTCTTGTCCTTTCCATCAATATACTGAGGACCATATCATAATTATTAATAAGAAATATCAGTTGCTGAATCCTTTGCGAGAATTCAGCTGCCATTTTAAGAAGAAAACAGTGGACTTCATCCTGTAGGATCAAAAGGAGATTACTAAGCTCTTCAGATGGGAATTGTTCACTTAGACTTAACATTGCAGCAGAAAATTCAGCATATCGGCGAGTTATCTGGAATTTGAAGAGATGTTAATGATTTTGGTGACTGAATTTTCAATTTCAACATATTGACAATAAGATGAAAAATGTTAATAATTACATAATGCGGTCCTAACTCTTTATTAGATAACTTGGCTGGATCACATTCTCGTACACTTTGTATATTTAATTTTAGAACATATTCTAATCGTGGCCACAAAGTTGTGTGTAATGAATCCCAATAGCTGAAAACAAAAAGTTTAAACTAATATTATTAAGAGGAAAAGTTTCTAACTTTGTTTCAAATAAATCGGGGATAATAATCTGTAGAACGATTCTGTAAAAATTCAAATTCGAATGCGTCGACATGCGTCCGATTTCACATCATTTAGTGTAGCAATTCTATTGATACATTTTTTGCATAAAAATAATAAACAAGACACATTCATATGTGTCTGAGATATTCTGTTATCCCTATGTTATTTTTGAATGTCACTTCACTCATGCCATAAAACGTTAATACCAAATTCAAGATTAAGCAGATGTCACTTTCTAAGTGAACTCAGACACCTCAGTTTTTTATATATGTTTACTGATTTATCTACAAATAGTAGACCAACTTTCAAGCTATACTTGTCAGCTTAAAAATATACCTGTCTAATGCTCCCACAGCTCTTTTATGACACATCCATCTGTATCTGTTGATGAGTTGGATACATAAAAACAATGCTAAACAGTCATAACATTCTAGTACATAGTTCTCCACATTTTTCTAAAATAAACAATATTTGTTAATAAATTTTATATAAAAATGAAGCGATATGAAAAACATAGGAACACATTTTTGTAAACTTACCACCAGTAGTGATAAAGTTTTGCCAAGAATTCTATCAAACAATTCTTGAGCATGGCTTCCCTTTACATGAAAAAACTCTGTTGTAAATAAGTACTCTTTACAGCCATTGTCTACAAGTGCATATTGAAGACTTCGAAACAAAGCTTCATAAGAATACTGTGAAATAATAAAAATTTTATTCCATTAATGTGAACATTAAAAATTTATGTGAACAGTTAATGTGAACAGTTTAATGACTTCCAATACTTAAAAAAATGTTTTTTAAAATAATTTAAGAGCGATCTTACTTTTGTTTTTTGTTGCACATGGGGAACTATTATGGGTGCTTCAAGCTGTTGGGCTAAAACATCCCCTCGGTTACCAATAGTAAAAATAGTACTCTTATTCTTTAAATTAGATTTTTGGAAAAATCCTCCTTTAGAACCATCTTCTATTCCCATCAAGTCTTCTTTTGTAGGTGCTTCTTCATATTTCAGTTTATCCAATCTTGATGCATAGGATTTAAAATAAGAATAGTAGACTTTGCTTAATGTATCAATATACTCATTACAGATCTCTTGGGCAACATTTCTTTCGTTAGCCAAAACAAATTCAAAGAAAAATTTATACTTTAACATTGCGTTTTGAGGTATTTGATAGTTAGCCATTGGCTTCCGGAACTTATATATTTGCTCTAATATATAAGTTCTTATCTTATTTACTGCTTTAATTTTTAATTTTTCTAGAACATCTTTCACATCATGACAAGCTTTTGTTTCTTTGAAATCCTGTTCTTTTACAAAGTTAAGTTTTTGGTTTAGTATAGCAAGTTGAACCATGAATTCTTTGTCTATAACGGGTACACTGTTGATTCCACTGTAAACATTAAATCAAATTTAGTATTGCTGAAATAACACCTAAACTAGTTCAACATGAAATTTGATACTTACAATATAAGTGTTTCTGATACTGCCATATCTTCAATAAAGGAAGACAGTGGTCCTTTGAGAACTTGTCTGTTGGACAGCTGAACTGACATATTAACTGAACGTTTTTGCAAGCTTATTATTTCATTACTAATACTACCCAAGTCATTCTGAAATTTTAAAGTCAAGATATTGAACACAAGTTAATAATCAATATAAATTATAGTTATTATTAGTACCCTATTGTTGTTGGTTGTTTTAAATTCTTTTAAAAACGAGAAATAGCTTTAAATTCTTTATGAAATATAGATACCTGAAACACCATTAGCATATTTTCCATCCGTGACAGTATATTATCACATTCTTCTATTTGATTATGAAGAGAAGTTATATTTTCACTTTCTTTTAGATAGTCTGCTATGGAATTCTTCTCTGCTTCTTTAATACCTTTATCGATTTGCAACGCATATTCTCGAAGGTCTGTGCCATTTCGAAGAACTTCTTGTATTTCATAGTCTTCAAGATTTTTGTCTAACCCATCCTTTGAATTTATATTTTCAGACATATTGGGCATTGTGGACAATATATTTGAATTTTTTAAGTAACATAAGTAAGATTACAATGTGATGTATGAATTAACTTTAGAGTAAATAAAATAAAATTCTTTCTAATAACCACGGAACTTGCACGGTACTAAAATAATGACAACAGGCTACATATTTAGTGATCTGTGAACACAGACTTAGTAGGTATCAGACGACCAACTTCCTAACAAAAAATTTCTTCGTAGAACGTGATTGGGAGCCAGTGATACATGACAGCTTCATACGTTTTAAATATATAGATCTACTATCGGCAAAGGCATTTAGCTATACAGCCCTGTTTTGGGTAGGTACCTAGCCGTCTTCCTAGTATCCACATTATTTTTACTTTAAATTCCTTTTTTGTTTTAATACAACAATAAAATAAAGCAGACTGAAGTCTAGCTTATTATTATTGTTGTATTAAAACAAAAAAGGAAAAATGAACACGTAAATAAAACACACATTTTTCCAATATTATTTATTGAATAATTTATTTTTTAACTTATTATATTTTTCACAGCTCTCTTCTGCATACTCGGCAATTCCTAGCATAGGCTTCTTTTTATACACATATTTGAAAGTTTTTCTAAAATTTCAATTGCCTTTGGCCAGAAAGAATGATGGTGTGTCTTATCTGTCACAGCTCTTTTCCTTTATGCTTTTTTGTTTATCGATGCTCCATTGACACTATCAAATAATTGGTCAAAGAATGAAACAACTTCAGCTGCATTTCTTAATGTTGTGCACATCCTCATAAGTTGCTGCAAATTAAAATATTCATATAATAATTGTATGAAACTTGATTCAAAACAATTAACTGTTAGTAAATTTCATCTAATACTCACAGAAATTTGCAGTGTAAGACAAAGCTGCAGACATATTTTTACACAATTTTTTACCTGCAAAAAGAGATATCATATTTAAAATTATCTTCATTAGAGAATCATTATTGTAATTTAAGTGTAAACTATATTAACTACTTGTTACATAATTAAAAATACAGGTCATTGTATCAACACTTGCTCTGATAGAGAATATAGAAGCTGAATACAAATTATTTATTTTATTTATACTAATTTAAGTTATACTAATATAATAACCAATGCATTACCTTCATCTTTTTAATTTTATCAGGTATAACTCATTGGTCATTTAATTTATGACGTAGCCCAGCTTCAGTGTGTTGACAGTCTGTCTCATAGACATAAATAATATCATGCCATTTTGCAAGTTTACCACCAAAATTATTCCTGATACATTTTATCAAGTGTGTAGAATCATAATGTTCAAATCCATCCCACATATTTTAAGAATGCCAACTGAAACAAAAATTTAAGAACTTCTTAAAACATAGATAACAATATAAAAATAAGAACCTTCACTACTTTCATTAAATCTATTAGTTTTCTTTCATATAAATATAATTCTCTGTACCAACCTGTGATTTCAATTTAAAATTTGATCACACTAAGTGTCTTCTTTTAGATTTTTGAGTGCTGATTGGAAAGCTGAGCCTTGGTTATATATTATTGCGATGGGATTAAGGTCCAATTCAACAACTTTTTCTACTACTAACTTTAAAATATTCTTGATGTACAGTAGATGTCGCTCCTTGACAGAAATAAATAAACATAAAGGCTGTTGCCACTTGTAAACAGCACCAACATAAATACAAGAGTATGATCTGCAAAATCCACTTTCTTTTCTTGGTGTTCTACAAATCCATTAATGTTATCTTTAATCCTTATTACTTTTATTATACGAAAGTGCTGTTTCTAATGACATCTCATCAAATATAATGGAGCATATTTTTTTGGAGTTTCATTTGTCCACCTGAAAAAGTAAATTCAAATAGTAGTAGAAAAAGTAAATATTATTATTTGGTAGTAATACATAAAATTATAAAAGTAGTATGAAAAAACTTATATGGAATATATTTACCTCTTACATGAAGCCTGGTTCTATGATCAATTTTCTAATCATAGTATTCAGTGTAGTTTTGGATGATAAAATAAAAAATTTTGCTTAAAAATCAATAACACTTTGGACTCTGCTTTGATATTGATAAAGCAATTATCTTTTCTTCGGTAGTGAATCACCTCTCATGTTTATTTTTAGAGCACATGCTCACATGCATTTCAAAAACATTTTTGCAACTGTGTTCATTTTTTGTCTGAACTTCTCAAATGATAACTTTTTACAAAACTTAAAGGTATTTAAGTATTCTTAACTTTTTTAAGAAAGTTAAACTACGTCTTTGGCTTGTTATATTCTTCATAAATTCTCTGGTATAAAGGTGACAATTGGCTTTATTTGGTAATAAGCCTTTTCCTTTTTGTTTGGGTACATTTCACAGGGTCTGTAACATCAAAAGTATTCAGTGAATTTCTCTATTAGAACTACTATTTGATTGAAATAAAGATACACTAAAGAAAGAGACAGGTCTTACCAGATAGTTTAGTTTGTGTCATATTTTAATCTCCAGAGCAAGCAACTAATTGAGTAAACTCAGTGGCTGCAGACACAGGAGTCTCAATTTGTTCTTTTAAAATTACACCACCTATGAAATCAATATTGATTATGTGTGTAAGATTAAAAAACAGGATATAATCTTAGATGATATTAGAAATATGTTATTTATATTATCAATTTTTTCTCTGATCAAAATCACTTCTAGCGTGCCCGCTAGAGTTAAGTAACTTAATGTAATTTTTCTTTATGTGTGTAAGAAAGAGAGATCTACTAGACTTTTTTAAAGCAAAAATCTATATTAAAATACACCAAAACTGCAGCATGAACTTTGTTATCTAAATAAATAAATTAAAAACAAACCTCTGTTCAGTTCCACTTTCTAATATGTGTGGTCAACATGACTTTTTCTTGCATAGCTGTGTTCCCAAGTGAATATAATTTCTGTAATAAAAAAAAATCTAATGAAGAATAGCGGTATTCCAAAACACAACATAAAGTGAAGATACATATCATTTTAATTACATTATCTAAAGGTAATAGCAGATTAAACCAGCCTTACCAGTATTGCTTGAAGAGGGTAGGCTGATTGAGAGCCCATCATCATTAAACAATGACGGATATGCATCACCCAAGAGTCATGATTTTGGAGTGATGAATCTTGGTACATCGTGTTTGCTACAAATGACACTTCTGCCTGGATTAAAATTTTCAGTATCACACACAGCACTAAGACATTGTAACCACTTGGAGAATCTTTTCTCGTTCACTAGAATCTTACAAAGAATAGCGTCCTGTTCGTACTTTAACAATGCGTGTAACACAACCATAACACAACACACCAATTTCTTAGGCATCTTCTACAAATAAAAATACTTCGAAAAATGGAGAGTTTATATTACAAATAAAGCGAACAGGGTAAGCACAAAAGAAACTTTACTCAATCACTTGTAATTCCCTGATATGTAGGTACATACTTTAGTCTTCTTCTTCTTTTATTAATGGCATATCTGCGCATTTCACACAATTTTGCCAATGTGAAATGAATAAATTAATTCCAACAAGTAAAATTAATTAAAGATTAATTAAAACATTAGTATCTTTACTCTTTGTTGTAATGACAGTTTCTGTCAGGTGTCATGTCTCCATCTACTAACAGGGGTGAGGGGCGTGTGGAAATGTCATACACATAGAATTAATAAGTACTACGTACAACTGGAATGCTAACTGCGATCTTTTTGACATATCAAAATGAACCTTAATGATATTGGAATAAAGTGTTTTTTAAATAACCATTATCTACATAGAGAAATGAGCTCAAGTGAGACTTCTTTTTTCTTGGTGTGTCTCTGTCGCACAATTGCCATGTGAAATATTGTTGATATAAAGGTGGTAAATTCGTGAAAACTGTTTACACAGAACAAAACGTTTTCTATATGAATATTATATTTGGCTTGTTTATAAATTTACTAATAATATAAATGCAATAGCTTTTAGGTCCAGATAAATCAAAGTTTTTATATTTCACGACATTTCAATATTGTAGGCATGTTTTATTACCTTTACGTTATGCAACACTACCCAAGTAGCACAAAAAGCTGAATAAAGGGTGAATAATGGCATTTCAGATGCTTTAAGCAGCATAAACTTGCCATAAAAAAGAATTTTAAGCACTTAAAATTCCATTACAATGCTGATTTGGGCACAAATCTTAGTGCCTTAGGCTTACGCGGGTGCCAAAAGGCATTAAAATAGCATTGTAATGGAATCAATAAGGTACACAGTGACGATTATAGCCGTATAGTAGTACTAAAAAGGCACCGTAATGGAATTTTAGCATTCTTTAGCCCCTAAAAAAGTCCAACTTCTACCCATTACAATTCTTAAAGCGCAATAGTGTCGTATATGCGGTGTATTTTATAAAGTTCGTATTTTTTTTTACATTCAAAACATTTGTGTGATGTGCAGCAGCAGTGACTGTGATAAAACAGAGGTGCGACGCCATTAACTGTAAGTATTATTAAATTTGTTAATATTGTATTGGGTGTTAGATGGTTAATACGTGAAATAGTCTTGCGGAGGCAAGTTTACTGTTAATGTCCATATACATTTCTATTGAATTTTTTTATGCGCCTCGAATATGATGAGTATTTAGTTAAATATTATATAGAAAAAGTGCCTATGAAAAATTAAATATTTATGTTTTTGGTTGTTATGTCCACAGTTTTATATTTAGGAGACTTATATATATTTTAGAATTGTAAATTGAGCAATAAGTAATAGCTTACATCTATAGTTTACTTATAATATTTACATGAAATATCGTGTTAGGTTAGGTTTGAACGATTTAATGGCGGAGTATTTAAGCAGAATTGTAGTACGTTATAGTTCCATTACAATTCTTTTGGCTATGAAATGAACCTTTAAAATTCCTTTTTTTCTTTTCCAGTTCTAGCTTTCGTTTTCCACGATTTTACCTTTTTTTTCGTAGACGATAGCATTTTGTTGTTTTCAACCACACACGCATACGACGGCGTATTAATTCTATTAAAATTCTTTTACTCTTCAGGACGCTCTAAATTGCCTTCTTTTATTGCCTTAAGAATTATAAAAGAATGACAGTCACCTATTTAAAATGCCAGAATCAAAATGGTGTAACCCATCCATTCTACAGAACCTTT